GCTTCCAGAGCCCTGTCATTATCCAGATCCCTGCTCAGTCTCAGATCCCCAGTGTCTTCATTCAACAGAAGCAAATTGAGGTCATTTCCAGATTCAAACTTGTAATGCAGCTTATCCGACACATCTGGATCATGGGCTGGTACTTTTCCAATAATTCCAGTTGGAAAGCTGTTGGACTTGTTGGTGACATAGTTGTTGAAGATGATCTCAAAGTTCTGCAATACAGGTATGTTGTCATTCATGTCCACGAGCCGGATGTGTACAGTAGCCCGGCTCACCAATGGGGCTGAGGTGGCCTGGACCACAATGATGTATTCTGTCTTGGTCTCGTAATCCAGGTCTGTGAGCGCAATGAGGTCGCCATTGAAAATGTCGAGCTGAAAAACTTCTGGAATATTTCCTTCCACAATCTGGTACATGATCTGAGCATTGGAGCCCTCGTCTGGGTCGGTGGCAGTGATTTGGGCAACAACGGACCCCACTTGGCTGTTTTCCTCCACATAAATAAAAAGCTCATCCTTCTCAAACACCGGAGCGTTGTCATTTATGTCTAGGACTGAAATATTAACAGAAACAATTGCCTTCTGAGGAGGAAGCCCTCTATCCACAGCTAGCGCCTTCAGGTTGTAAAAAGCAACATTCTCGCGGTCCAGTTTGCGAGCGGTTCGGATTATTCCAGAATAGGTTTCAATGGTGAAATCGCCCTCTCCATCTTCTCCACCCTGAAAGGTGTAACTTACCCTTCCATTGGAGTCAGAATCTCTGTCTGATGCAACAATCTGGAGAACACTGGTTTGGATAGGTGCATCTTCATATACACTCCCCTTGTATATATCTTTGTTAAAGATAGGAGCATTGTCATTAGCATCTTCAATTCTGATCTCCACATAAGTGGTATCAGATTTCTGAGGGATGCCATTGTCTCTGGCAATGATGGCTAAAGTGTAGGATGCTTGGTGTTCATAATCGATCTCCATCTGTGTTGTGATCACACCAGTATCGGGGTCTATCTTAAATTGTGGAACATTATCTTCCATGACATACGTGATGCGAGCGTTCTCCCCCGTGTCATCATCCGTTGCAGTGATCATTGTCACAAAAGAGCCTATAGGCTTTTCCTCGCCAAGAAGCACCTGCAAATTGCCACTGGTCTGAAAAACAGGCCGGTGTGTATTTGCATCCGACACATTGATGAAAATCTGAGCCGTGTCATGGAGTGTCCCGTCGCTTGCCATGACCGTCAGGACGTACTGCCGCTCTTGCTTGTAGTCCAGGGGAAGGGCCAGGGTGATGAGGCCCCCACCACTCTGGCTGGTGATGGAAAAGCGGTTTCTGGTGTTTCCACTGAAGATCTGATAAGTCACCACACTATTAATGTCCCTGTCCACAGCTGTCACGGTCAGCACACTGGTCCCCACAACGGCGTCTTCATTGATCTTTAAAGAGTATGTCTTTTCAGTAAATGCAGGGACGTTATCATTTACGTCCAGCACCATGATGCTAACGGAGGATGATGAAGACATAGCAGGACTCCCATGATCTCTTGCCACAACGCCAAAGGTATAGAAGTCAGTATTCTCCCTGTCCAGTTCTTCACCAACTGTAATCCAGCCGGTGCTGTTGTTGATGGTGAACGGGAAACCAGGTGGTGTGTCAGTGAGCCGGTAGTCCAGACGAGCGTTTTCTCCTGAATCGCCGTCTATTGCTTGAATGTGAATAACAGAATAGCCGATGGGGACATTTTCCAACACAGTGGCCTGGAATGGAGTGCTGACAAACATAGGAGCATTGTCGTTGATGTCCACCACATGCACCACTACCACTCCAGTATTATTCATCAATGGGGGCCTGCCACCATCGTAAGCTTTGATCCTTAGATTATACTCCCGATTCATCTCATAGTCCAGAGGGTTGATGACATTAATCTCACCCTTTTCGGAGTTTATGTAGAACTGGCCTTTAATGTTGCCGCTGATGATGCTGTACTGAACTTTGGCGTTATTCCCCTCGTCTTTGTCAGTCGCTTCCACTTGTATAATTTTAGTGTTGACAGCTACGTTCTCAGGGACCTGTACCTCGTACCTCTTCTCGCTAAACTGGGGATAGTTGTCATTTTCATCCTCCACAGTGATGTGAACTGTGGCAGTGGCGGTCAGAGGATGAGGGTCCTTTCCCTGGTCATCAGCCTCAACGATCAGCTTGTACTGAGCTCGGGTCTCCCTGTCAGGCCGCTCCCTGATCCTCACCAGGCCGTTCCGGGAGTCGATCTCAAACACAGAGTTGACATCGTCTTCATTGACAATTCTATAAACCATATTGGCGTTGGAGGGGGCATCACCATCAGTGGCACGTATGGTCTTCACCTCGAAGCCAACCTCCACATTCTCCATGATTTTTATTTTGTAATTTTTTTGCTCAAACACCGGCATGTGGTCATTTTTGTCACTAACTGTGATGGTCAGGATAGAACTGGTCGATCTTTTTGGGGTACCATTGTCAGTTGCAAAAACTAAGAAAACATGCGTGTCCATTTGTTCTCTATCAAGTCGTTGGATGGTCGATACGCTCCCCGTCTTTGCATCGATTCGAAAGCAGTCATCAGACCTCTTGTCTTGAGGAGACTTCATGCTGTACTCCAGCCTCCCTGCCTCTCCATCATCCGGATCAACTGCTTTTAGGTTGATGACATGGGTGTATGGGGGCTCGTTCTCGGGGACAGACACCTGATAGGTGGAGATCTGGAACCGCGGACCTGAGTTAACCTGACGCTTCCCCCTGTGGATCAGTTTGCCAGACTTTCTGTGGGTACTTCCATGTTGTGACACAGTCAAACTCAGCTGCACAGACAGCTTGCTGCCTGGAGAGCCGTGCAGGGCGCAGTGCAAATCCACATTTTCTTTGTGTTCAAGGCACAAGTCGTTGAGCAGGAACAAATCTCCACGCGTGAACGCCGCGACAAAGTCATTTCCAACGCATTTAGTGTTTAAAAAGGCTACACTTTGCGTGGATGCTGGCATCAGTTTCTTTACATTCAATAAAAATGTACCTGCGAGTAAACAGGAAGCTGGCTTAACTTTCAAAACGTGCGCAATGTGAATGTCCGGCTCGGTCTTTCTCTTATACTTGATAAAACAGTTCTGTCCGTGAACGAACACGTTAAAATGCGTCAGAGTCGCGTCCCCGGACGTGGAGGAAACTGCTCTGAAGTAAACAGGCACCGGGTTCCTCGGCGCGCGCGCGCACCGGATCCTGCGGGACAGGCGGATCACGCCGCTGCGCGTCCCGACTTGGAGAAGCGTCTGGACAAAGTCTGGCGACAAAGTCCTGTCGATGTTGTACGTCCAGCCGGGTCCCAGGGACAGGTTCGCCAAAACGCTCCCGGGCTGCGAAGTCTCCGAAAGGTGCATCTCCAAGCATCCCGCGAGCGGCACCGCAAGCAGAACGCAGATCCAAATCCGACACATCGCCGGCTCCATGCCCGGATACCTGCCAGGTCCCAGTCAGGTTCCCCCGAAAGCGCCCCAGAGGCGGATTAGCTCTCCCTCTCCCAGCACCGCGTTTTACTTTTAGCCCTCATGGTGGAGTTTTAACGCAGAAAAAGGCGCTCGCTATCCATGGTGTCACCGTGTCCGGAGCGCGCGGGCGGCTGCGTGAAACCACACTGAGTTTAAAATGAGTACAAAATGGCTCCGTGGATCTCCTCCTCCTCCTCCTCCTCCTGTCCCTCTACCTCCTCCTCCCCGCTTCCTCCTCCTCAACTTATTTCCATAAACCTGCTGCGTTTCCCCTTCAGGGACGCGTTCCCGAGAGGGAGGGGAGAGGGGGGGCTTTTTCTTTTTCTAATGGAGATTTGCCGCTGGCAGGATGAGCAATGAGCACAAGAAAAAAAATGCGTATAATAATCCTGTGCGCCGCGTCTTCCGTTCGCGTCTTTTGCAGAAGTTTTACGCAGATACAAAAGTGGAAAAAGTATCCTATCCGAAACGCGTTCAGGGCTGTACGCGTCTTCTGAGCCACAGAGCCGGCCCGAGGCATCAGCGAACCAAGCAGCACTTCAATTCTCACTGATTATATTACTCAGAAGTTTATCAAGAGTCGGTTTAGGTTTAAAGAGACTTGCCGGCGGAGAGTATATCGTCTTCACTAACAAATGTCCAGTGGCAATAACACGGAAAGCAGCTCGGAATCTGCCAGAGTTTACAATCCAAGCTTTGCGAACCAAAGTGATGAAACACAAACGTCTGCATCCGAAATGATTGGATGAACACACTAGAACAGGCGCAAGACTGGAGCGGATCAGACAAAGTCTGGTCAGTCACTTTAAATCAACTCAGGCTCGAGATTTCAAATTTGAAAGTAATTTTACATTGTGAAAGATTTTAGGGAATTGATAAATACATTATCTGTAATCACACTGTTAATAATGTTCATTAATTAATGATCCTGCGTGATGGTTTTTCCAATGGAAACTTTCATATAATTTAGTATGTTCATAAGAACTGAAAAATATAATGGTAGTAATAAAGTTTTTAAAGAATTGTATTACTTTTTAATTTGGTGTGCTGGTTTCTAAATGATGAGTTTGACACACTTCAGAATTCTTATTAAAGATTTTAGACAATATAAACCTACAGTGGTTTCTGTATCACTGGATAGTATCATGCATAGTTGTGATTCTGCCAAGTTTCTCAATAATGGGCATTCTGCTTAATTTGCTCCGGGACTTTAGATAGAAGTTTAAAATGACAGAAAATTTCATTTTTAACCCTCTCAGGCTCAAATCACTTGCAAAGACTGGCTAAGTTGTTGCAAATCTGCAACACCTGCCTGGAGAGTGTTAAAAAGTTCTGCTTTGTTTTAGAATTTACAATATTATTGCAATCACAACGGAAAAGTTGTAGAAATGTATCAAAACATGAACATTTCTATCCATTTTAATTACTTCAAAAGAACTGATTCCCATAATTTCAAACTCAAAAGATATGACAAAGGTAAGCAAGTTATGTTAAGACTCACAATTTAGCATTTTTATTTGAACTTATTGTCTGTTGCTGCGTTGGGGACACCTTTTATCCACGCCAGTGTTGCAAATAAATCCAAAAATAAAATAAACACATAAATAAAAGTAAAAATCCAACAAGAACACAGGATCAGTGGCACCACCATGCAAAATTGCAGTAAAAGTTGAATGCTTTCTTGTAAAACCCAGAGTTTCAGTTGAGAATCTTGTGTCATAGCCCCCTCTTGTGGTTTGATGGACTACAAATAGTAGAAAGGGGAAAAAAAACAAAAAACAAAGACAGCTCGTTTCCAAGCAGGATAACTTACATCTTCGGAAAAGGAACCATTATTAATTAAACATTTCGTTTCATTGCGTCGTTTTTATGAGTTTCATTTGTTACATCTGTGACATCCCAGAAAAACGCCACAATGAAAGTGAGCAGACTATAAACTCAAAACACTCATTATATGCCAATTGACTGGAAGTTTTTTTTTTCTAAAACACCAAAAACGTATACGAGACCCAAAAAGGACAGATATTTACATTTCAGATTTATCAAAACATTTAATACAAACATCCTGATCTGTGTCTCATTTCAAACCTAATTAACATCAAACAGATTCCATCGTTTCATTTGGTACCAAAGAGAGATGAGGACAGAAACAGAGAGTCGAGTGGTGGAAAAACTAAGTACACCCCGAGGTTTAATTGCTTTAAAACCTTTTCAACAGATAATACGCTGAAGCGATAATTTTCTGTCCGATCCTCCCTTTCTCATTACATTTTGGTTTAAGTTTTTATTTAAGGTTTATGGCTATTTGTTCTATATGGTTTCAGATAGCTGCTCTGCTTTATGACCTATTTCAAGACGCATAACGTCACGACATCATGTAGAGGAGTTCATAATCAACTCAGTGACCGAAAGGCACTGACCTCCTGTGAAGTAAAAAAAATTTAAAAATAACAAAACGGCTGCATCCTACCATCTCCAACTGGGACGAGTCAGAGATGGTTTCCTCCCAGGATGGGATCCATCGCGCCCTCTGCATGAAGCAAGTCTCCAGATCCGGAGGAGGCGTCTCAGCCCACCAGCATCACTAAGCCACCGCCGTGCTTCGCTGCAGGCATTCGACACGGCTGGTCTCCATGCGAAAATGCTGGACTTATTTATAGGCGAATAATTTGCAGGACTTCACTGTTTTGAGTTGTGGTTCCTTCATGATGCTTTTATGAAAATAACTTTACACATTTTTCATACATTTACACAGGATTATATAGTTTTAGAATAAATATAAAGTGGACCGTCTGTGTCCCTTAAGAAGTCAGTAGTAGCGTATGGTCTAGAAAGCCATTATTTTTTCCTCAGTAAACCATCTTATTACTATAATGTCTCCACTTTGATGTAAGGATACAGATGATTTCTCAAAGCACCTAGCAGCAAAACTTAACCCTTTCCTCCTACAGTTTTATCCTTTTTACTCAACCGATTTTGTTGAGTAAAATCACGATAAACATCTCCTCGCGCTACCTAATGTACCCGACAGGCAGATCCAAGATGGTCACACGCAGAGTGCTGATCTCTGATCTCAGCCTGCTGGATCGGGGATCGGCTCATCGTTCTGCTGCCGGTTCGCCACTAGCCTTTCGCGTCCCTTCTGCAGCGTGAATTCGCTGGGCCCCAGCTGGATGATCTTGCCGCTGCCCAGGCATTCGTCGCCTTTGTAGAGGACTGCAAACTGAGGCAGGGGCAGAGCCAGCGACTGGAGTTAAAGACCTACCCTAATAAAATCAACATGGGAGGCAAAGTCTTGGAGCAGAGCTTGACTGGATACCTGTCCGGGCGTCAGCGCTCTGACCGGCTGAGAAAGAGAAATCCACACCGACCCGTCCATGTTCAGAGTCACGGTGCAGGGAACTGCAGGGGAAGAACCGTCCAGAGTGAGTCTGCATCACTTTGCCATCACCGTAAGTTGCTCTGAGGCGGCCAGACTCACTGAGCGCCATCTGGTGGATGAAGCGGAAGTGGCACTCCATCATCTGGGTCCTGACCAGCTCCGCGGGCGGGTCCGAGGCGATCCAGTGGAAGCGGTCGGTCCGCGCCGTGTCACGGAAGAGAGCTGGGTGATTGGTGGTCGGAGCCTGAAACAGGAGGCGTTTAGTATACGTTTTTGTGGCGATGCACCAATGTGAACATTTTGGCAGATATCAACGTTGCTGCTGTAACGGATAACCAATATTTACCGGTATTATGTTTATTTCGACCACCACTGCTTTCTTGGCTGCATCACTATCATGGTCACATGATTAAACAAACACCAAACACCACTCGCGTTCGATTTGGGGTCGTAGTTTAAGCATTATTTGAGCTTTGGAGACACTAATCAGCTGCTTTCATTAGTAAAACTAATACCTTATTGCAATGGTACGTATGCCAAACTACAAACTATGGCATGTAGATGCATCTTGATAAAAGTTTACAATGATTTTTTGTTTTGGTCTAACTAGGCTGAAGCAAATCCCCATTCATAATAGATCAATAACTACATTCATTGCAAATGATCAAAATCATAGGTAATACAATTCTAATAGAATATTCAATAATTTCACTGAATTCTGATCCGGAAACGAACAGCATTCTGGGGGATGTAGTCAGAGAAAAGACTCAACCTCTCATGTTTAGCAAAGAAACGCCTGGCAGCATCAACTTATTCACTATTTGGGTCACCTAGCGACAAAACACTTATATTGTGATGCATTTTTCAGACATATCATCCAGCTGTAGGGCTGTCACATAAAATCTGAGTACAATTCCTTAAAACTGAGGTAAAAAAAAAAGCTGTTCTCACCACAAACACATCGCCGGTGACAATATCTTTATCCACCACAAACCAGGCATCCTTCTGGCCACCTATCCTCGCCCGCTGGCCCAGGGTCAGCGTAAACCAACCTGTACAAGAACCACAAGCAGGAGACAAGAACGCTAAGACATTTTTAATGCAAAGGCTTTGCATAATAACTGTGATAATCAGACCTTTATGCGTTCCTTTCACCGTCCCGTCCTCAATAGACACAAAGTTCCCAGGTTTCGGCTCCAGATACTGACGGGAAAAGCAAAACTGTGGCAGATTGTCACTTTTTCACCAAATATTTGTTAGAAAACAGAAACATAGAACAAAACAAAGGGGGGAAAAAAGCCTTGCATCTCACCTCTAAAATGAAGTTTTCAAAATTTCTCTCTCCAATGAAGCAAATGCCCATGCTCTGTCAGAATAGAGGTCTAACGGTTCAGACTGAATATAACAAGTAGAGCTCAATGACTTATCGGACACGTCTTTTTTTCCTTATACCTCTTTCTTTTTTAACACATGGTGAAATCCTGCTTGAGTAGCCATCTTTTTCACAAACTCCTTGGTGAGTCCAGCCAGTGGGAAGAGGGTTTGCCGTAAGGCATCCTGCGAAATCTGGCTGAGGAAGAAAGTCTGGTCTTTGACCAGGTCGGCTCCTTTGCACAACTTCACGGCTGAAGGGAAGACAGGGGGAAAGAAAAACAAAAACAAAAAATAGTACTGGAGAGTTACAGTGTGTTGGATAAGAACAAATCTGCTGGGTTTGTCTGAAAACGGAGTCGAACGCTTACGGTTTCTGATCTCGAATCGATCCCTGAACAGCGTGGCGGGTCGGGTCGCGTGCGACTGCTGGAAAACTTCCTCATCTTCCTGGGATGTCCTAGCGTAATGACCGGTCGCCATGGCATCAGCACCTGAAACACGAGCAAAGCGCCCCAGTTTACTCGCAAAGCAACTCGTGCAGGTTGTCAGCCAATCAGAAGAAGGCCTTTGTGAAAACCTATTGCATCATCAAGCAGTAAGGAGAGACTGGATCCTCACTGGGTATTTCAGCAGGATATTAGGACTCCATACATGACATAAAAGTGATCTAACATGGCCAAAAACTGCATTGTCTTCATACAAACAAAGTAACACCTATCCTTTTAGTTGTTAGTAAGCATTTACACCACCACTGCACTGAAAATATAAATTAAACAGAACAAAAAAAAAAACCTCAAACCAACAAATGAATAAACTGGGCTTTCAAATAATAACAGTCTTATTAACATCTTAAACTTATTTGCTATTTTGCAGTATGAGCAAGTGAACGCAGTGGTTTAGAAATAATACACGTTATTAGCTCCCCAGTAGATTATTCATATAAAAACCTGGACATTTATAATAGAATATAGGCATATTCTATATTCTAGTAATTAGTAGATTCTTGAAAAGCCATAAAGACTCAAAATAAGTTATTCTAAATGCATACCTACCTAAAGTGTGGATGGCATACTTGTGGAAATGGTTGAACTTGATGTGTTTGTTGCAGAGTATGTCGGGGTTTGGGGTCCTGCCCTTCTCGTATTCTTTCAGCAGGTTGCTGCAAACACATTGGGGGACAACTGTGACTCAGGAACGTGGGTCACATCGGCCGCGAAAGGTTTCTTTCGAGGGCGAGCGGGGCACCTAAACACGTCGTGCCAGTACTCTTTGACATAGGACACCTGGTGGAAAGGGATGTCCAGTGTCTGGCACACTCTGTAGGCGTCGTCACAATCCCTCTCTGTGCTGCAGGCTCCGCTCTCGTCCAGAGAGTCCCAGTTCTTCATGAACACCCCCGTCACGCTGTAGCCTTCCGAGTGGCAGACACGCAAAACAAGAAGCACATTTAGGAACAACAGACGACCGTCTGCCGAGTTTGCGGCAAGGAAACAAGCACACGGATACTTTGGGGGGTAACTGAGGTGTTTTAAACCGTTTAGTCCCCCACCCCAAGAATGTCTCACCTCTTCTCTTAGTAGCAGCGCCGCCACAGAGCTGTCGACGCCTCCCGACATGGCGCACACGACGTGTCTTACAAGCCCCATGTCGTTTCCAGTAACACTTTATACTTACAACTTTACTCATTTGAAACTTGCGTAACTATTAAGAAAAAACGCGAGCTAACGCCTTTCTACATGTTCGGGTCCGTCGCGAAATTACGTCCGGCGTCTTAGTTCCGGTCAGAACAGGGACAACAGGGACCGGGGCAGGAAAAACAAACAAAAAAAAGAAAACAACCGTCCAGCGTCCACGCATCGAGACATGACGTTTGCAGAACGAAATAACAACTAATATTCGCAATATAAGGTAAGTGTAAAGGATGCCGAACTTACTGCGCAAAGCATTTGCTTATTTTAGATGTTTTTTTCAAAGTGAGATCTGTAAATCAATTTCTGTTCTTGGATTCATTGTTTGAAAGTATCCAGAACAAGAAGTTTTTTTTTATGTTTGCAACATTTTTTTTTTGCAAACCATAAGTTTATAATAGATCAGTCAACCAGGGTTTATTTGCACTTTCCATGCAAACAGGCATGCTGGAAATGTTAAGTAAATAACATAAAAACAGACAAATAAAATAATTTACTAGTGAGGATGAGTTAGTGAGGAAGTAAAAAAATAAGTGGACAAACAAAATATAACGCATAAGAAATTACTAACACATAAATGAAAATACTAAAAACGTCAAAATGAAGTTCAGTAATACCAGGTTGAATTTTTTTAAAGTACGTCGCGCCTGTTTTCGTGGTCTCTGCAGATGAGCAACGTGTCTGCGGACGCCATCACCCTGGATCTGCTGAGAGAAGCCAGGGAGACGGTGAGGAACAGCCCCCTGGGTGTCATCAACACCCCCATGATCCCCTGGTACCAGACCACACTGCCATTGAGCGTCAGCTGCAACATCCACCTCAAGCTGGAAAACATGCAGAGAACCGGTCAGTGGGGGAGCTGCACTCTCTCATTGCCTCATGTCTGAATCTCCTCCTCCCCCTCACCCACTTGATTGTCCTCGTTTATGATCCACAGGGTCCTTTAAAATCAGAGGAGTGGCCAATCAATTCTCCAGAAGACCGAGCGGTGGCCATTTTGTGACCATGTCAGCGGGGAACTATGGGAAGTCCTTCGCCTACGCCTCGAAACACTACGGCTCCAAGGGGAAGGTGGTTATGCCAGAAACGGCCCCGCAGTCCAGAGCCACCCTTATCCAGGTCGAACTGAAAAACGATAAATGAAATGCTCCATCATACCTGATATAAAGGTTGTAAAGGGCTCCATTTCTGAATTTATCCCTCAGACTTTTGGGGTGGAAGTAGAGCGAGTTCCCACGACCTCTCTGATGAGCGCGGTGAAGCGGTGCATTCAGGAGGACAACATGACCTTCCTGCACTCCTACGATGACCTAGATCTAATAGCCGGACACGCCAGGTTCTCCTAACTTAAGCAAAACCCTGCCACCCTCCCCCCCCCAAAAAACTCTACATTTATTTCAATTGAGCAAAAAAATTTAGCCAGGTGGAAGGAAATGGACACGTGGTTTTCAACAGACTCTCATTTCTAAAACGAGAATCTGTGCGTGTGGCGCAGCCTGGGCCTGGAGGTGCTGGAGGCGGTGCCGGACCCAGACGTGGTGGTGGTCTGCTGCGGTGGGGGCGGCCTGCTCGCCGGGGTGGCTGCCGCCATCAAGCTGTCGGGGTGCGACGCAACAAGGATCTATGGCGTGGAACCAGAAGGAGGTGAAGAAAGACTTAAAAATGGCCGCTTAAGTGCAGAAACAGATCACCGGCGTAGAGTTTGATTATACCGAGTGTCTGTGTGTGTGTTTGCCACCAGCCTGTACGATGTACCGAAGCTTTATTGAGAAGAAGCCGGTGTGGATGGATACACACAGCATCGCCTCTGGCCTTGCACCTCCTTCTGCAGGTTAGTCCTCCTCTATGTTAGCATGTGGCAACTGAATGTGGAAAAGTTCCCCTTTCCAAAGGTTTTCCCATCACACGGACTCATCAAGCTTAGTCATTTTACACCCAAAAACCTTGAAATAAAATCCATGTTTTTTTTGTTTTTTCTTTTTTTAATCCATGCAGCCTCTCATCTTTAAAGGAGCGCGTTAGTTCGATGCTTCACAATAAAATTTGGTCCAGCCAGTAGAGTTTTACATATTTCTCATGTGAAACTCTAGACTGTTCCAGATTTTTGAAGCGTTTAGCCTCATTATCGCGTGTGCGGATAAATAAGAAAGGGAGAAAAGACTGGAAGCAAAAGCGGAAGTACCCAAACAGAACTAGAGGAAGGACACAGGCGTGAAAATTAAAAAAGAAAAGCAAAGAAGGAACTGGCACATGAGGAAGTAAAAAAGACAGGAGGAAGGAGGAGAGAGAGAGATAACAGGAAGTCCAGAGAGAAAAAAGAAAAGTACAAGAAAAAAAAAAACAGAAAACGACAGGAAGGAAGGAAACAATGAATGGAAAGGAGAAATGCAATGTAGAAGGTTCTTATGTCTTATGCAAATGACATAAGAACAGAAAAACATAAGAAAGTAACAAACAAAGGATGGAAGGAACAAGGATGAAATGTAGGAGACAACTACTAAGGGTGGAAGGAAAAAAACAAAAAGGGAAGTGAGGAGCAAAGTAGTGAAAGAACAAAAACCAAGACTGTAGAATGAAATGAAGAGTGATACGATGGTGGGCAGACGGACTGACACAATGAAGTAGAAAAGGGTAAAAGGATAGGAAAAACAAATCCTATCCAGTCGCCAGTACTGAGAAGCAGTATATTTTTGTAAAAGAAAGACATCATTTAGACGACTGGATTAAAAAAAAAACATTTTTCCATCTTCCTATTTTCTCTTTCCACATCTAACCAGACCAGGAAAATACTAAAAACCAACTCCAGACTAGGTAGAAACCTTGAGCCAGACGATGCGTTGGACGTGATGTCTTAACCGCGGCGCCGCTCTGCTCTGCTCCGCTCCGCAGGCCGGCTGCCCTTTGACCTGTGTCGGCTCTACGTGGAGCAGATCGTCCTGGTGAGCGACGACCAGATCAAGGCGGCCGTCTCCGCCCTCTACCGGGCCGGACTGGTGGTGGAGCCGTCGGGTTCCGCCGCCTTCGCCGCGCTCGTCAACGACAAGATACCCGACCTGGAGGGGAAAACCGTTGTGTGCGTTCTCAGCGGAGGGAACGTCGGGAAAGACGAGCTGGCCAACTTCCCGGACTGAAACGCACCTGGATGAATCTGAAAGCGTTCCTTAACAATTTTTCACCCAATTCAAAAGGAAAACGTTTTGGATGTTTTAACACTAATCTTGGAACTAACACTGAAAACCAGCACCATAAATTTATAGCAAATGTAGCTGTTGACAAAATTAGCTTGGTTGAATTTATGAAGTGACTTTTCACTGAGTAGCCACCGAATCTGAATATTAAGAGATTTTTCTAGACATTTGGGCTTCAAGCAAGTTCAAAATACGCAGACAGTAGTTGGTTTTTTTTTAGCTTTTGTGGAGTAATTCTGCTTCTGAATGCAAAGTCAATAAATGCAAGATTCAAAATAAATACAAAATATAAAAACGTTAAAGATATTCTGTACTTTGTTTGGCCGGCTCAATCGGAGTGCATGATCCGGCAGCAATAACCTTTAAATATGGAACCCGTGGAAAAAAAAATTAAAAATAGACAGATGGAAGTAATTAAAGAGAGGCTAATTTTTCTTTTTGTGTATCTAAAGCAAGACACATTGAGCTAGGCATGATTGCGGAATATCAAAATGTACCCGGAGACGTTTCATCTTTTCACATCAACATGAAAGGACAAAAGACGTCCTTAAAGGATGTAACAAAAGACTAGAAACAGAATCATTTTTAATGATTTCATATTTAAATTTCCCCCCAAACTGGTTCCAGAAAACAGAACTGAATAACGAGTGAACTGTGACATAACTTACTGAACCCAGGAGAGTACGCAGTCATAAACACTGCTGAAAACATAAAAAAATAACCATAAAGACATTTTTGTGCTGAAAAGGGCAGATTTTCAATCCCGTGTCGCTGTTGTGTCTTCAGGGCCTACATGACGTCTTTTATAGCCATTCTACATACGACGGCGTCCAGCAGACCGCCGCACGTCTCCTCCTGAGGCGTGACTTTGTACAGCTGTAACGGAGACAAAAAGGAGCAAACACGTTCAGGACACACTGGAGCATTTTCCGGCTGAAGTAACAAGCAGGAGCTGCTCTGAAAATCTCGACCGGACAGGACCACGCACAATAAATCCAAGCTTGTGTGTCCAATTTGTGGTTTCCCTAACCCTAACCCTAAAAGTGCATATATAAAGCATTTACAGCTGTAACTTAATTCATCTGAGACATGTGCTCTAAATCCAGTTGGTGAGCCTCTGAAAACGCGCCGTGATCCGATTACCTTTCGGATCTTTTCCAAGTCTGACAGTGAGGAAACCTGGTCCACCGGGAGCTGCTGTCCGTCCACCAAGGCCGTGATGTCCTCCACGGCCTGCAGCTCGTCTTTGCCGTGAACAACCACCACCAGGACCGAGACGTCCCTGTCGGAGAGCCCAAACCTCTTGAAGGCCTCCGAGATCTGCATCGATGGAGTAAAGACGTTGAACAAAGGCTGGGAAAACGAAACGCAACACAGTAATGCAACAGACTGTTGTTGCATCACAACTAAACAGTGTAGGTAACTGATGCTTTACAGGACACTTTTTACAACAACATGCAACATGTGTTGGTCCACAAATGTCCATTGAACTGCACTGATGAGACAAAGTTGGTACGAATTCAAGTTCAGGTGGACATCTTAGTTGAAACCTACGCACATTGTTAGTCGGCGACAGGCTGAAAATGATTTCCGAGTTGAGACTTCTGGTCTTCATGTTCCCAATGGAGCGTAAATGAAAGGCTTTGTTGGCGGCCACCAGCACTTGGAAAGGATCCACCAGCTGGAAATGCACACGAAAGGATAAGTATGTAGCACGAGTCGAACATGATGACAGAATTAAAAGCAACAGTGACGTAAACGTGGCTCACCATCGTCGGGTTGATGAGGGCGCCGTTTATTTTGCCCTCCACCGCCTTCTGTCTCAGTTCTGCCGCGTTTCTCACGCCTTTAAAAAGCGCTTGCGTCACTCTGGTGTCGGGGTAAAGCTCCAGCGTTTGCGTCAGTTTCATGCTGACAATCTACATGTGTGCGCGAATTAAGCGACTTTTACCTGCTGCCGAATAAGAACTACCGCTTCTTCACGTTCGACACATGATGGGGGAACCATAATACGGTGACACAGCTCGGAACTAAATATCGTGAGCGGAAAACACCTATTACATATGACTACATAATAATACAAACTCGTACAATAAGTTACACAACATAAATACGTTTTAATATTTTTATGTAGTGCAAAAATAAGTGTTTAGTGCAAAAATAAGTGTTTGGTGCCACAAACGTGTAGAAGAGACCGCACTTGCTTAATGCCTTGTCGTAACGACACATGAAATTTAAAAAAATAAATAAAACATCAAAAAGGTAAATTTGATAATTTTAATACAGATATATTAAAACGCAACCCAAACCATAGCCACTGCATTCTATTTTCTTACTGATATTATTTAAACTGCATGTTACCTAGTTTTGTGTAAAATGTTTACAAGAAGAAAAAAATATTTTTAACCAAATCCGCCATACTGAATATAAATATCACTATTACATTGCTCAAATGCAGATACTGCAGTGGTTTACGACGCTTTATTACATGCTAACAAAATTTAGTTTTGAAACGATTTGCTTCGTCTGAACTTTTGATTTTGCTTTTATGTTATACATTTTGTTTTTATTCCAGAATTTTTACAGATTTATATTTGTATCTATGCGATAGAAAGTTTTTTTTTCTTTTTACAAATTAGCCAGACGATATCTTACTTGTACTTTAGTGAATGTTTTATTACTATTTACGTCAGTTCATACCGAAGTAACGCCACTCTTAATTTTACGCAACGTCATGCTGCATCCACTCGCAATGTGGCGTCGACGTCGCGCTAAGCGCGAGGCAGCCGGACCGAATGGTTGTGAAAGTGTTTCCACCCGAGCTCGATTCTAGGGCGGATATCCAGCTGTTGGGAATCCAAACTCCTCGTTTTTTTTTCTTTATTTTTTTTATGTCATTTTCAGCCATTTTCGCTCTGAATTTGGGGAACGTACCAGCTTTAATCCGAGCGTGTGGTCGCTATGCGCGGTATACACGAGTCTAACAGTTAGTGTTTGACCAAAGTGACTGTTTCGTCGTGTGTCGTTGCGGCAGCGGGTGGGAAACATGGAGAAACTCGAAGTCTACGTCTTCTCAGCTCTGTGCAGCGTCAACTTCTTGGTGTCCTGCCTGCTGTTCTACAAAGTGGCGCGGGTTCAGCGGGATCCCTACATGGACGAGATCTTCCACGTCCCGCAGGCTCAGAGATACTGCAGGGGGAAATTCAATGAGGTAACCGTCCGTTTGTGTACGGGTCCATCGCGGTGTAACGGATTAAGCAGGGCTTTTGTGATGCGGCCAGAATGACACGACAGCTTGTGGACGCTCTAATCTCAGTAGCAGTCACACATGAAGGCATTATAGCAGAGGTTGTGAGCTCAATCTTTTAAAACCTCACATCACGAGCTCACGAGTAAGTTCAGATTTGTCTGCCATGTATGCGGAGGAAGGGGGAACCCAAAACAAAACAACTGTTTTAATAAACATCTGGCTGCCACGCCCCCCTCTGGATATTTTAAAGGAGGATTTCCCAGCTCAGATCAGGATGCAAGACTTTGTTTCCTAAGGTGACCACAAGGGGGCGTGAAATACGCTTTAACGGTTTAAAACCGTCACATCCCCCCCAAAAGAAACACTATCATGGAAGTCAACACAGAGGCATCGTGACAGTTAAGGGCTTCTAAACTAGACGGCGTGTTGTGGCGTTTGCTTTGGCTATATAGCTGCTAACGCCGTTTACATCTGTGCTGCACACACACAAGTTAATTTTTTCATCATCAAATCATCATCAGCTTGAAGCATTTCCAATAGCTGGCAATCAGTGTTTGACCTTTCTTATTTGCAGAATTGTTTTCATTCAACCACTCTGTTTTCTTTAGACATTGCCAGCCTGCTAAAGGTCACACCTATAGCATTCAAATTGGATTTGAGTCCAGCCTTTGACTCTATTATTATTATTATTATTATTAATAAGCAGACTTGTTGACGTGCCTTGCTGTAGATAATTGTCCTACTGAATAAAGGAATTCACGGTTGGGTCAATTGCTGCCAACTATCCAAGTCTAGAAGCACCAAAGCAGCTCAGATCGTGTTTTATGTACTTTTTAAAAAAATAGTTATCCACTTCTGACATGACCAGCTCGTCTAGTCTGTGATTATTATTTGTTATCTTCAAGTAGACTCCCGTCTTTTTCAAATTGTCTCAAAGTATTACTACTGATAATAAGTTGATTGCGATTTATGAAAAGATGAACATGTCAGCATTTCAAACCAATACTAAAGTAAAACCTCACAAGAACAATTAATTTTTTGTTTAGGAGCCGTCATAAAAAAAAATCATCTCAGGCTTCAAATTTTGTGACTTTATTCTGCTAATATTATCAGTTTGTCCTTGTATTACTTACACCTTATTGTCATATCACATTTTTCTTGTGATTTCGCAACTTTATTCTCATAAAATTATTTTGACTGTTCTGGTAATATGAGCTTATTCTTGTATTATTACGACTTATAATGACTATCATACAGCTATTCCCACATTATTATGACTTTATTAATATGAGTTTATTCTAGTATTGTTTCTACTTTGTAATATTAGTTTTAACTTACTCTTATACAGCTTTATTCAAGTAATATTATGACTTAATTCTCATTAGAACTCATAAGTCATAGCCAACTGCTTCAACGTGTTTGGTTAAATAATTTTGCCGTTAACTGCCTGGGGCTCCCTCAAGGGGGTGACATAAGTTTAGGACAACCAGATCCAGATGATTTAAAAGAAAGCTCCTTGAAGTGAGAGATCTCTGATGGTGATGATGTTCATCTCCGGTGTCATCAGTGGGACCCCATGATCACCACCCCCCCGGGCCTCTACCTCGTCTCAGTGGGCATCATTAAGCCGATGGCGTGGGCCGCCAAAATGACGGGTGGCATGATGTGTTCCACGGCCATGCTGCGCTTCACCAACGTGCTCTTTAACTCCGGGAACTTCTACCTGTTGTACCTGCTCATAAGCAAGCTGCACCAGAGGGACACGGTAAGGCTGCCTCACCACAACGAGGGAGGGAAAGAGGGAAGAAAGGTTGTCATTTTTTCTCTAATGCCATGTTACCTCTTCTTCAGGCACGGCTGATGTTTCGGCGAATCCTCTGCGCAGCAGCTATGTCCACCTTCCCCGTGCTTTACTTCTTCACCTTCCTTTACTACACGGACGCCGGATCCACCTTCTTCATCCTCTTCGCGTACCTCATGACGCTGTACGGCTGCCACAAGGTCTCGGCGCTGCTCGGCATCTGCGCCGTGCTCTTCCGCCAGACCAACATCGTCTGGGTGGGGTTTTGCGCCGGCACATTGGTGGCTGCCAAGATGGACGATGTCTGGAGGACGGAGTACATAAAGAAGAGGGACGAGAGGCCCCCCGCCGTCCGGGTGCCTTTGACGTCTGAAGGAGTGAAGAAAGTGATTATGTTCTTCATGGACTTCTTCACCACGCCTGAAAACGTCAAGGCAGTGTTGCAGGTGACCTGGCCTTATGTCATGGTGGCAGTGGGTTTCGTAGTATTCGTGTTGTTGAACGAGGGGATAGTGATGGGTGACCGGATGAGCCACCAAGTCACCTTCAACTTCCCTCAGATCTTCTACTTTTTCTCCTTCACCTACTTGTTCTCCCTCCCGGTATCGGTATGCAGCCACCGAACCCTCCGCTTCAGCCACGCCCTGAGGAGGCATCCTTTGTTCTTCTTCGTCATCACCATTGTCTCCTTGCTTTTGGTTTGGAAGTTCACTTACGTCCACAGGTACCTCCTGGCTGATAACCGCCATTACACCTTCTACATCTGGAAAAGGATCTACCAGAAGCACCCGCATGTCCGCTTACTGCTAGTACCGGCTTACATTTTCACCGGGTGGAACTTCCTAGAGACCTTAAAGTCCCGCTCTTTCTTTATGACCCTGGCCTACATGATGTGTCTCGCCTTAACCACAATTCCCCAAGAGCTCCTGGAATTCAGGTACTTTATCATCCCGTACCTGATTTATCGCCTCCACATGCCTCTCCCGCCTCTTTCACGGCTCACCGGCGAGTTTCTGCTGTACACAGTCGTGAATGCCGTCACCATTTACCTGTTCGTCGCCAAGAGCTTCTCCTGGCCACTGAGCCTGGCCACGCAGAGGTTCATGTGGTGAGGAGGCATCTGGAACCAGAAAAACCAGCAAATGGTTACCAGTATCAGGCATTAGAAACTCAATAAAAATCAATCAGTTAAATCAATTATTGTACGCCCACATTTCTGAGCCTCATTCCAAGAAAAGCTGACTGACATCAACAGAGACTATTGTGAACATATTGTCGCAGTAGTCTGGGAGAACGTGTTCCATCTGGAGAAGCTTTTTTATAGCAAAATCTGTGCATTTCCTTCTTGCACCCATTCATTCTTTTACTGTAAATGGAAGAAGTGAAGGTCATTAAGGAAGTTTCCTAAACAGCATCTAAAATTTCAGAATCTTAAAAGGCAGTGAACGTATCATAGATCACAAACAAGGCCTTAGAGGTTCTGTATTTAGCATACAATAATCCAGTCCAAATTTGATAAGATTCTGAGATATAGCTAATCTAAAAGTTTCCAGATGTCAGGAAACGCACAAAATATCCCTGCCAAACTTCAGGGACACCAACTTCAGCATTGTATAGTGTCCCAATGGTACAGAAAATACAACTCAAATATTATGTACTCCAACATTCATTTGAGACTTGAGAAGTTTGGAGTTTTGAAGTAGAAAACAAGTAGGAATCATCTCTAAAGAAACTGCTAACTTGAGCTGTAAATGTGATGACAGCTGCTGGTTATTTCCCACATTCATCATATCGTCCTTTTGGACACTCTTTTCTTTGTTTGTTTTCGGTATTTTTAGGCACAAAATTAAGCCATGTGACGTTTCTTAGCAACGATTCGTCATATCCCTGACTGGAAATCTTTTGTACTAATTCACACAGCAGATGATCTGTAGCCCTTCATGTGTTCCACCACATTGCTTGGTAGCCGATAACCAGTCGTATTAAAGAGAAAGAGGGTAGAATAATACAGTGCTGCTCATTTCCAAGATGTTGCTGCACACTGCAGGGTCAGCTGGCAGAAAGAAGATTCCTACTTCAACCAAGAAAGACAAATTCTGCTGTTTAAATCTACATTCAATCATGGAACAATAAGTCTCAAGTGATGTTTGCTACTTTTCTGTCCTTGTTTAGGATTCTACTTTAGTCAGTGGTGGTAAAACGTGGGTACGAATTAGTGAAGGGGTGAACTGACCCAAAGCCGAATGAAGAGACCAAAAATGTCTTCTTTTTTTCTTTTTTTTTGCCAAACGAAGAACATTGATGTTCAAAATTTTATGTTAGCGGGAGTGTTAGCTTGATTACAGGAGGATAGAAATGGTTTCCATAACTACTGTAGTTCTTACATTATCAAAAGTCATGAATATCCACTGGAGCTAAACAATAAATTTACCCGGGGTTGTGTGTTTAGTTGGTTTTTTTTGTTTTTGTTTTTTCTGTTTTTGTTTTGGTGCTTTGATGTTTTTGTCTTTGCTAATTTGCATACATGTGATTAGCTTTGCTAGTTCCGGTTTTACCAACATCTGTCTGTGATAGAATATAAAACCCGATGTCGTTTTTCTACCTCTGTTTCTAGTCAGTTTAGCTTCGTAAACCCACACAGCGACACGCAACGGTTTCAGTAAAAACGCCTGCTTCGAGATCAGATCGCCATCTTTCCAAACGGTGCTGCTTCCACTGCTTCCACTTGTCTGGTATTGTACAACTTAACTCTGCTTCACATTATTTTGAAACTTTTTTTTTTTCCTCTGGATATTTTTGTGTCCAGGTCCGCTCTAGCCATTCCTTCTCTTTGTGATACAACTTTGAATAAAACGTGTTAGAACAAACCAAACTGTGGCAAAACTTGAGTGGTGCAACACCTTTCAAACATGTTTCAATTCATCAGTTTGTTTGTTTTTTTACTTGTCCACTTTTATGTTAATTTATACGTGTTGATTGCCTTTTTCTCTCATTTACCCATTAATTCATCCATCAATTTCTTTTCATTATATACCAATTCTTTGTCTTGATACGTCCTTCCAAATATTTGCAGACCCTATATTTTGTAAAGCCAGACAATATAGAAATATCTCCCTATTCTTCTCGACTAAACTTTTTAATGATATATTTAAAATAAAATCTTTGATCCCTAAAAATATCAAAGAACTCTCAAAAAAAATCAAATGAAATCCAACAATTCAACATAAGATTCACTTATGTCAACTGATGGAAAAGGGAAGAAAAAAGATTTTTGTCACGTAAGCTTTTACATCTATGGAGCTAAATTGGGGCCATAGTTTGTTCAAAAGAGAAAAAAAAAATAAATCCTCCAGTCTGAAGAATAGTTTTAACATTTTTCTTTCAGTTTCAAAACATTTTTTCAGTTTTTCTTCAGTTTCGAATCTTTTTGTTTTGTACAGTTTCAAACTCTTGAAGAAACTTTTTGGGCCCAATTTAGCTGCATGTACTGCTGCTATTTTGAGAAAGTCTTAATTTTTCTCAATATACAAAATAAACATTCATTATTTTGGAGTTTCCACAGCTTTTAAGACAGAAACATGCTGTCATATCACAGGTCAGTCAAAAGGGGGCAGTCTTGGATGAAGCTAACAGTTACAGCTGGATTTTTTTTTTTTATTAACTTTTTGAGTCAATAATTTCCTGCTGCTCTCCTAACCCAGGGACATTGAAAGTAAATGTTATATTTAATTTAGGGTTAGTTCTTCTAAACTCTATTTTCTCTATAAAACAGTTGTCACAATGCCTGTTCATCATTGCCAGATTAAAGTTTGGAATCAAAAGAGATTTTATAACCGACTACCTCTCTGCTCCCCTGAGCCTGCAGAAATTCAGCTTTTTTGTTTTCTCGCTGCTTCATTGATTTTTTACTTAACGGGATGACGAAATGACGCCGCAGTCCTTCTCGCTGCTGCGCTCTGGCATTTGGAGAACCACAGCCCGACAGAAGGCCAACATAACGGCTTCGGTTCCTGTAGTATTATTGCCTCTTCATTCCCGTTGATGGCGAGCCAGTGGGGAAAAAAAGTTAAATGTTACAAATTTCATCAGACAGGAGGGAATAAAAAAATGTCAGTGCTGTGAAAATAAAATCAGCTGCCTCCTTTTATGAGGAACAAACAAATCTCCACTCAATAAGTAGATGAGCTGAACAAATACAAAAAAAGCATCCCAAACCAACCAGGTCGAGTTAACTGATTATCCACATTGCTAGGTCAGTTTAACTTTACTAACTGTGATGAGAAATAAAATTATTTCTAAGACTCTGGGACTTCAGATTATTAGAATAACCTAGAAATAGAATTATGGACCATTGGCGAACCTTCCAACATCCCACCAAAATCACAAAAGAACCAAGAATAGCATCTAATGTATCGAAGGCCTTGTCATATCAAAGGTCAGAGGTCATAATTTATAACAAGAAAGAGGCTAGAAAAAAACGCATCCGTAAGCTAACAAAAAAACACCCGAGAAACTACATCTAACAAATGTCAAAAATATCTCGAGGATCTCCAAGACTTTTGGCACAATATTTTGTCTAATGAGACAGAAGTGGAACATTCATGCCTAAAAACCTTTTAGTATGGCCGTATTAAAACAATTCTGTAAAGAAAAGTCGGTCAATATTCCTCTATAGAGATTTTAGCACAACAATGAGGTTTAGGAAGTGGAATTACTTGTTCACAAAGGACAAGGAAGGTTTGGATAGCTTTTGTATTTGCTCGGGTTATTTTTGTTTTATACAGAAATTTGTTTGATCTGAAATATTTACTTGTGACAAAAGCAAATTTTTATTTTTATATATATATATTTTTAAAGAAAGCTCTTTACCAGAAATATTAATCTAATAGTTTAAGCAAATTCATTTTCCCGATGTCTGTTGCTTCTAACACATATTTCACACAACTTCTCTGCTTTTGTGGCTGGAACCTCACACTTCCTTGATGAGTTTTCCCGAGTCCATTTTAGATTTTGGTTCTTTAACTGTCTTAAAGTCGGAAAAATTAAAAGAATTTAAGAAAAAATGTTGAGAGAACTCCAGTTGTTCAACAATAATTATGTTTTCTGAAAATCGTATCTTTGGTTGAGTTTTCATGGCCAAATCCAGGTATACATAATCACAACACAATACTCTGACCTTTTTGAATTCTGTGCGTAAAAATAAACTGAAGTTAATCATAAACTAAAAGTACTACTCCATGGAACTTCAAGTTGTTCCATGAACTCATCTTATGTTGAAAATACTTAAAACAAGAAAATAAGTAACTGATAATAACTAGTAAAAATAGCAAATACACACTAAAAACCCATTTCAACATCGCCGAGTTAGATGAAAAAAAGAAAAGTGCAAATGAAATTAAACTAACCTATAATGACAAACCCAAAACTATCACAACCCTGTTCAGTGCATTTAAGTCCTTTCACAAACCTGTCTTGATTGTCCCTTTAAATGCTAAAAACTTCTATTTATTTCCTTTTCAGCTCCATTTCTCGGTGTTTTAGCGTACGGGGTGCTCAGCGCAGGAGTTTTGCTTGAGTGTCCGTCCGTTTCTGGAGTCAGCGGATCGGCAGCGAGGTCACGCCTTCGTCAGGATTCCTGTCTAACTCTCTGCGACGCGGCCGACCCTTTCACTACGCATCGGTCAGCTTTCGGCCAACACATCAGCACGCATACATTCACACTCTCCCGTCAGCACACTCAAATACCTTCGGCGAACTTCATGGTAGTTTCTTGGAGCATGCATCGGGAATCCACCAGATTCTCCCACTGACCTATGACCTCCTCTGCAGACACACGGAGCCTCGTCCATCTGGGATGCGTCTCAGTGCATAATACGCCGCTTTCTGAGGCAGAAGCACACTGAGGTACACTGAAACAGCTGCCATGCATAATAGATAACGGCAGATTAAAGGAACAAATGGCCGTGGTGTGTAGTTCTGATTGAGACGAAGCTTTCTTGGGGTGATCCACAGAGAATTCATGTTTCTCCATGTGTGTTTGTGCATCAAAAAGACGACAAAATTAAATCACCCAACAAGGTCTCAGACATTTTCTGTCTTGTAACTCTCCCCGCTTGATTATCTTTTAGAGAGAGAGAGAAAACAAAAACAGTGTGGTTTGTAGCTCGTGATGCGTTTCCTGTCGAGCACTTAATTAAGGATTCCATTTTAGTCTCAGTCGCCTCGATAAGCCGTCCAACAAAGAACAAGCAGGTACGCAGGAAACAGATGGAGCCGCAGACGGCGCCATATGTCACCGCAACGAGACCAGAGCTCTGAACGACTTTCGTCTCCACCAGTGGAAACAGCATTATTTTATTTCTAAGACGAGACCCGATTAGTGAAATGTAATATCATGAAGGCGATGAGGGAGCACGGCGATGGCATGGCGGGGAAAGAGCGAGGGTTCCACTCTTCGTATTGGTGGAACACTGGTGGCAGCATCATACGGAGAGGAGGCCATAAATCAAAGGCATCCACTCAGGCTGCTTATGCACAGCTTTGATTTCGGTGTATGATACAATCCCAATACAGCACACTGACGTGTGTGACTGCTAAAGCGCTGCGATCGGGGGAACGCAGCCCACTTGAGTTGTGGCCTGCTTGATGAAGCCAGAGCCTGTTTCAAACTGCGCAATGGTTAGTTTCATTAAACATGGAGGTCTTCGCTCAGTGACAACCGAGTTGCATCCTGGGAGAGAAAGGAAGAAAGGACGAAATGTCAGGCTATGTGGGCAAGCTCTGCGTCCTGTTAGAAGTAAAACAAAGATGGAGATTACGTACAAAGTGATATTTCTCCGCCTAAAGCTCATAATAAAAATAGAGCTTTCACCTCATTTGGTGCATGTTCTGTCATTAATGTACAGTTTAGCCTGAGAACCCAAAACAATCACAGCATACATGCAAATGCTTCTATTTCTGTAAAAGCAGTAGGAGTTCGGTGGGCGGAGTGGTCAAAAAAAAAATTTATGTGCTTAATTTGATTAATTATAACATAATTAAAACAGTAATCATTAGACTTCCCAGTGTTCATTTCAGAGAACCTTCTGGAAAAAACAGTTTGAAGTCCTGCAAGGAATGTGTGGGCGCACATACTGGTCAGATATATATATAAAGCACACACACACACACACACACACACACACACACACACACACACACACACACACACACACACACACACACACACACACACACACACAACTTTGCTCCCAGTATTGCACCACCTCCCCACTATTGTTTTTAAGAAAAATATTCAAGTGGGGACCCAAGTGGGGCTCCGTCTTTGTGGCAGGTTGCTAAGCTACGCACCGTGTCAGGAGGTGACAAGCAGCGTAATTACGACCCCGGCTGACAGACATCGAGCAGAGTGTTCATTAGACTTACTCAAACATTAAGGCATCAAGTCTTTTTTTTTTAAAAAAAGGGCTGAAAACCTGACACAAGCTTTTGTATCAGCTGATTGACCTGATTGTAATTTTGGCCAATGAGGACGTCGAACGGAGAGACGAAGAAGAGAGAGAGAGAGAAAACATTAAAAAATTAAACTGAAGTCTTTTCAAGAGAGTTTTAAGACTGTTACTCTTGAAAACTGTCATTTTTAACGCTCCACATTGGGTTGTGTAAACGCTTCTCTCTCCGTCGGCCATCTTTGATTGACAGAGATATTAATGCCGTTTCCCTCTCGCTCTCCCCCAGAACCTCCACTCAATCTCTGCATCGTCTCCCTCCACCTCAGGGGCCTCGGGAAAATGGAGCTATTTATAGAGACAAGAGGCGAGGCGTTCACGTGGAGGCATTCAAGGCTCTCCCTGGAAGAAGCAAAACAAGCCGTATTCAAGCCACCATGAAATGCTTTCCTGAAAATTTCTTTCCCCACATGCAAAATGTACTGCTGCCTGAACCTGCTTTGCACATGGAGAGACTGGATTCACTCCCCCAACCCCTACAACTTCATTTAAAGAAAATATGAAAAGGCACGCGACATTAAAATGCTGCGTAAAAATAATAGGTGACTTACTTTGTGTTAAATTGCATCACTCGTCAATATTATTATTATTATTATTTTTCTCAGAGCTGTAATTTGAATTCACGTCACGCGTCAGCGATTTTCAGACCGGATTTATTTTTATTTCTTTATTTATTTTTTATCATGCCAAATGTGAAGCCAGCTAAGTGAATTTGTTTTGCAAATGAATGCTAATAGGGATCCTTAATGAGGCAAATTGAGCAGCCAATTTCGCCTGCTTTCCAAACGTTTAGAGTGCATTCACACGAGGAAGAGGGAGGAATGCCAAGAAACACCTGACACCTATCTAATAAACTCTAGAGGACTGAAGTTGATTGAGTGGGGCCGTGCTTGAATAGATCCGCCATCAGCTTGCTGCATTATCAGGACGATAATGACACTTTTACAGAGCTTGGCTGGATTTAATTTGGCCAACAATAATGTAAATTAGTCATTTCAGCAATGCAGCGAAGCAGGAGGCCGACAGCGATTAGCAAAATTTGCGCTGTGTGTGTGTGTGTGTGTGTGTATGTGTGTGTGTGTGTGTGTGTGTGTGTGTGTGTGTGTGTGTGTGTGTATGTGTGTGTGTGTGTTTTTTTAAGGGGCTACGTTTTGTTAGAGTGAGACTGTGAGGGTCTTATACCGACCAGCCAGAGATTCTGAAAAATATTCTTAATTTATTACAAAAAGTCCCAAAAAAAAAAAAAAAGATGAATTGGGCCCAAAATTGAGGTCAACATAAACTACAACTCAGGTAGTAACTAGTAACACCAAGAACTCAAGCACAAAACTGACCTAACAAACAAGACACGAGGGGAACTTGAATAGTGGCTGATCAGACCACTGCAAACACACAGAACTTGAACAAATATTGGTCAATACATGACTAAATCTTTAAACTAAATAATTATTAGAACTGAACTAACTTCCAAAAAGAAGAAACATTAAATAAATGGTAAAATTTTCTTCTGTGTGATTTCTGCAGCAGCTCCAAAGGAAACTGGTAACTCAAAAGAAATTTATTTGTTGCATTTAACAAAAAATGTAAATAACTGACAGATAAAGTTAACTACATGTGTGGACATTCTCCTTTAAATGTATCATTTAAAGTGATAAATTAGTAATAAAGCCTAAGTGCATGCATAAGGAGCCGGTGACAAAATGACAGAACTAATGGGGAAGAGGCAGCCAAACACGGGGAACGTGAGAAAGCATGGCTTGTTTAGAAGCTGGAAGTAAATGGAAAGCGAGTGGGAGCTGAAGAAATAGCACTAATTGGGACCTTCAGGGATATTGCAATGGAATACTAATAAAGTTACCATGCAAACAGATGCTCATATGGACAGCTGAATGTAGAAACTGTTTTGTTAATTAGAAGAAATTTGCTAGGAAGTAGTTTTTTTAAAGGAAGTAAGTTAGATGTAGGAGCAAACTGCCAAAGAAAACTGCAATTAGAGGTGAGAAAATGAGCAGATTTTATTTTTTAAAAAGAAAGCTTTGCTGGATGGAAGTCCATTGTTCTGCTGTCTTAGAACAAATTACATAAGATATTTGGGGTTTTTTACTTTAGAGTAGAACCTACATGTCGGTCATGATTACACATTTTGTTGGGTGATAATTTGTCCCAGAACGTATTGCAAAATAAATGTTTTGAAAATAACAGTAATGGTAAAATAAAGCAAGAACAGATTATCAAATATCAATCAGCTTTCAATTCTAATGAACATTTAACACCAGAACTGGAAGATATTTTACATTCATAAAGTAGGTCAACAAAACAACAGAAACAATGAATTATAAAGTCTCTGAAAATAAAACTGTCCTTCAGAAAAATGTTTAGTTTGAAGAGTTTCATCATCCAGTTTTTGGTACCAAGAAAGAAAATGGAGAAAAAATAAATTATACAAATGGAAATTACTGAGCTTGTTTTAATTTATCAAGCGATTCATTGATTTGAAACTTATTTGGGACAGATCTAATAATTTATAATATTTTCTGAGTTTGCTCTTTTTAAGCCTCTATAATTGCATTTAAATATAACCAACAATGTTTTCTAATATCACATAACTACCTGGTTATTTTAAATTTTCTTTAAGTTTTGAATATTTAACACAAAAACTGTTTTCTGGAGGAAATCCTGAAGCAGATAATATCCTTTGTTGATAATTTATTAAAATGTTTAGCCATTTTTGCCTCAGACAATAAAACCCATCCTGTCTATAGGTCACACACACCCTGTGTGTGTGTGTGTGTGTGTGTGTGTGTGTGAGAGTGTGTGCGTGCGTGTGTGTGTGTGTGTGTGTGAGTGTGTGCGTGCGTGCGTGCGTGTGTGTGTGTGAGAGTGTGTGTGTGCGTGTGTGTGTGTGTGTGTGTGTGTGTGTGTGAGAGTGTGTGTGTGCGTGTGTGTGTGTGTGTGTGTGTGTGTGTGTGTGTGTGTGTGTGTGTGTGTGTGTGTGTGTGTGTGTGTGTGTGTGTGTGTTTGTTTTGGTGTGGATCCATTAGGTCTGCAGCTGACTGGAGCTGTGGAGTTAGAAGTGGAGCTCAGCAGTCAGTGAATCAGGGATTCCAGTGAAGAACTTGTTTTTGTCACTTAGAGACATTAAAGCAATTGTTTTCACAGTAAGATCATCTACAGTTCAGCTGTTAAAGGCAGCAGAGATGCTGAGGTTAAAATATTTAGCAGAAACTGAAACAGAAAGCAGACTTGTTTTTAGGTCTTGGTATTTTCTTGAGCAACATTCTAACTCTCAGACCGGTTTTTATCTTTCAGTTGCAGACAAGAGGAAGAGACAAAGCTGCTGATAGACAGAGTTCAAAGAGCCATGAAGGAATGAAGACGATCAGGAAAGTTTGGTTTTTATCTGAGGATCATCAGCAGCTAACAGATGGAAACAGCAGAACATCTCATGCTTACCAAAACCTGGTTCACACATTGATGTGGGCAGAATAGATTCTGTCTTCAGTCAGCCGAGTGTTTTTGTTCCGGCTGACTGAATGAACACGTTGAAGAATGTATTAAAGACAACATGATCAGATGACCTGCATGGAACAACAGAGGCGTGTCTTCACTGACCTTTCACTGACTTTTCCAGTTTATCGAAGATGAAACTAAACGTTTTCTCAGAGCTCATCAGTAGTTTCTGTAGAAGAGAAATGTAACATTGTTGCTCTCAGAGAGGAATATGAAGACGTTGGTGACGTTTGGGATCCTCCTGTATGGTAAGACCAGCTTCCTCTGATCAGCAGGTTGGACTCTCTGGGCGTCAGTCAGGGTCATTTCGGACTTTTAGCAGCGCTGCTTCAGTGTGATGATGAGGTCTGGAACCTGAAACATTTAAATGGTTCAAACCTTCAGGCTTGCAGAGTGCCATGACCCATTCACTAACAGGTCCCAGTGAACCATGACAATGACCAGAACTGGTCCAGGGTTGGGCAATGGGTCACTAATAGCCGCCCTGCCCCACATCCTGGACACCAACTTAGCAGCAGCTGCATTACAGTGATTCTGGAGTTATTGAAATGTATAACGGTGTGATTTAAATGTGTGTGTGCTGTTAGTGTCCTTCAGGATCCAGGCTGCAGTGATTGAGGTGTTTGAGGAGGCAGAGTCTGTCCTGCTGCCCTGCCTTTATGGGGGAATAATTCCTGAAGAAGATCCCTTCGTTACCTGGACTCGTAACGATCACAACTCCAAAGTTTTCCTCTTTCGACAAGAAGGCAGTGATCCAGAAGGACAGAACCAGATCTACAGAGGAAGAACATCAATGAGTCCTGATGCACTGGACACGGGAAACTACAGCCTCACCTTCAGAAAGCCTCAACTGTCTGACAGTGGGAACTACATTTGCAGCATTGCTGATGGTGTAAAGACGCTAAAGCTGACAGAGGTTCAGCTCAATGTCAAAGGTCAGTTATTTTGTACACGTTAATATCCAAAACATTTAAAGAATGATGAACCAAGACGAAGGCCATCAGATGTCATATGTCACATCTGACATATTCTTTGCTTTGCATTTAAACCTTTAAATGCAAAGCAAAGAAAACTCAATATGAACACATCGCTAGCTTCAATGTTAGCATGATGTTTTAATGTCAAGAGACTCTTTATAAATTCAGTCAATAAATTTACTGACTCTATTTATAAAGTCAGTAAATTCACCAGGACAGGAGCTGTAACATGTCTTACCCTCAAATATCACCAATACTCAGCTCTTCCACTTGTTTCTTTTTGAACTCCTATTTCTATTTGACAGTTTTAGCTACAGTGGACTAAGTAACAGTCGCAGACTCTGTGTGGATGTAATAAATCATCAAAATAAAAGGTTCTGGTTCAGATTGTTAAGAATATTTCTTTGGATCAGTGAAATGATTCAGTGTCTCTCCAGATGTCCAGGAGGAGGTGAAGGTGAATAGAGATGCAGAGTTCGTTGTCTTGCCCTGCAAAACATCTGCTGATTTGCCCAAAGACACCAGAGTGGAGTGGACCAGATCAGAACCACGATTTATGTTTGTTCAAGCGTATCCAAACACAAGCACACGGAATGCAGAAAGGGAAGAGCATTACTGGGGCCGCACTGCCATGAACAAAGACTTGTTGAGAACCGGAGACGTTAGCCTGACCCTGAGAGATCCTGGAGCCAGAGACAGCGGACGCTACGTCTGCACCGTTTACAGAGGCAAAGACATCCTGAGACAGAGAGTGGATCTGGAACAGGCCCTTCTGGAGGTCCCTCTGCATCCAGGTAAAACATCTGACCTTATGGAGAAATGAAAGTGACTAACTCCCGGAATATGTATATAATATGTAAATAATGCACAAGTCTGATTCCTTACTGCTATGGCTAAAACACAGAGAAATTTATTCACATCTGCAAATCTCATTAATCTTTATATCACAGCTTTAAAAATATCCAAAATCTGCCAACTTTTGCTGGATGCATCACTTTTTATAGGATTTCCTCTCTGTTGATGTGTATATTGGTGTGGCATCATGTCCTTCCATTTACACAATTATCCTGGCACAGATGTTTCCCGGAATCGAAAACATCTGTGCCATAACTTTTTCCGTGCACAACAGCATTATAGAAAAATTTCTCTTTCACAATTTGCAGGTAAAACATCTGATCTGCAGGTAAAGGTCAGAGGTCAAAGTTCTATCTCCAGGTAATGTTCTCTCTGTCTCTCCACAGAGGGTACACCCGTCTGGGTCACAATTTTCTTGGTGGTTCTCCTGGTTCTTGGATTGTCTGGAATTGTTTTATTTTATTTCCGTCACTATTTCATACCAGGTAAGTTTGAACTTCAACAAAATGCCTTCAGATGCTTTATTAGAATTTCTTTCCAGCAGCTAGAAGAGATCCAGTTCTTGGTCTGAGTCTTCTTCCTTTTAAAAAAAAGGTCAAATAAAGCTTTTAATTTTAAAATGAAATAAAAACCATTTAATAAATAATTCAGAAAAGTTTTACTTGCCTTTTGATTTAAACTTGTGTTGGACCCAATCTCCTATAATTGTTTTATGTTTTTTTTTTTTTTTCTAATGACACATTCAATGAGGAAGCAACACTATGAACAAGAACATGAGTTTGAGAAGAACTGGAGGCTCAATTGCTGTCTCTATTGGTGTCATCTGAGATTCTGAGGAAATTAAACATAGAACGGATTATTTAAACATGGTTACAGGATTGTGTGATAAAAATCTTCTATAATTAATATTTCTTTCATATTTGAAATACTCAGCTAAACTTATTAGAAGTGATCAGGCAACTCAGGTTAATGAGGAAATATTATTTCTTCACACTCAGTGCCATATGTCAGCATAAGATCTAAAGTATGACGACAAGAGTGAGCAGAACTGTGAGTGTAAGATAATATTCAAGGCTACATTTAAGCTGTCAGTCTCAGTGTCTACATTAGTGTTAAAATCAGAATATAATGAACACATTAATGTTAGTAATTGAGAATTATGACCTGGTTCAACAAATAACAGGATTTTCACCTGAGATGGAGAAACAACTGGACAGAACATGTAACAAAAGAAGCTAAGGCTAAGCTAGCAACTGCTTAGCACAACAGAGGAAGGAAATAATGAAACATGAAGAATTTCTGAACATAGCAATAGAAAATGTATTTAAACTACCATTTATTAATCAACAAATTCTGAATCCTTTGTTGTTTCTCAGTCAAACAGGTGAAGGTAGATTCAGGGGAAGAGTCTGTCCTGCTGCCCTGCACAGCCAAAAAGAATCTGCCTGAAGATGCTAAAGTGGAGTGGACGGACAAAGATAATTTAAAGGTCCATGTGTATGAAAATGGTTCTGATTATCCTGGAGAACAGAGCCTGTTCTACAGAACCAGAACCAAGATGGATGAAAATCTGTTGATAACTGGAGACCTCAGTCTGACTCTGAAACATCCCACAATTGGAGACCAGAACTTCTACACCTGCAGAGTCTTCAACAGGGTCGGAGCTATCCTGATGATGAAACAATTAAAGCTTCAGGTGAAAGGTCAGAGGTTTAAATGTTATTTATTGTTATAAGCAGATTGGTTGTGATCAGTAGTGTTGATTATCTCATTAGAGGGTCAAAGGTCAATGTGCGTTTCATTTTCTAAGACAAAGTAGATCTAATGTAATGAGGTCCCTGCGTGTCTGGACGCCATTATTTATGACAACAAGCTACCCAGAAATGTAGAGGAGTGAAAGTCAAAAGTTCGGCAAAAAAAAAAAGAATTCTCAAAAAACTTTACTAAGGTAGTCAAGTAAATATTTAAGTCAGTTCTGGTTATCAACTGAAATGAGGTTTCAGGTGTTTTTGTGTTTCTGCTCTAAGAAGATCTGCTGCTATAATGACTATAATGATCATCACAGGCCATCAGATCAAAGTGGATTCTGACGTGGAGTCGGTCCTGCTGGCCTGCAGAACCACAGATCATCTGCCAGGAGATGCGAGAGTGGAGTGGATAAAGAGCCCAGTTAAGAAGATCCACGTGTATGAGAACGGTTCTGATCAGCCTGGAGAACAGAGCCAGTACTACAGAACCAGAACCAAGATGAATGAAGAACCGCTGAGGACTGGAGACCTCAGTCTGACTCTGCGATGGCCCACTGTTGAAGACAGTGACATCTACATCTGTAAAGTCTCCAGCAGGAACGGAGACGTCCTGATGAAGAAACAAGTTGAGCTGAAGGTCAAAGGTCAGTGGATTACATTTGATATTTCTGTATTGTCATGAACATTTTCCTATTTAAAATGAGAATTTTAGCTAAATACACAGAATCAATCATTTTTGCAGAAGATGCACTTTGCCAATGTATTAATTTATTCAAGAAGTTGAAAAAAATTCCCAATAATATTATGGAAAAAAATGTTACTATTATAATAGTAATTGAACAGGAACATTGTTCAGGAAGAGCTTTTTTTCCTGGTTTCATTGAACATCCGTCAGAATGAGGGAGGAAGCAGAAAACTGAGATGCATAGAAACACAGTGGAATGAAAACTCACCTTGATCTTCTCTCAGTCTGCCAGGTGGAGGTGGAAGAGGGGGCGGAGTCTGTCCTGCTGCCATTCAGAACAACGCCTGATCTACCTGGAGACGCTGAACTGGAGTGGAGAAAAGGAATCTATGTGACAGTCCATGTTTATCAGAATAACTCTGATCAGCCTGAGAAACAGAACCGGCTCTATATGAACAGAACCAGGATGGATGAAGACCTGCTGAAGACCGGAGACTTCAGTCTGACTCTGTGTTGGCCCACAAAGAGAGACAGTGGAAAGTACAGATGTTTAATCTACAGCCTGAAGGGAAACCTTCAGAGAGAGAAAACGGTTCTGCTCAAAGTTACAGGTTTGTTTCTTCATTTCTGTGTTATTCTCTCTCTTTGTTTATCTGACTGCTGTTTGTCGTCTTCTTCTTCTGCAGAGAGACGACAGATCCATGAAGGAACTCCACTGATCCCAGTTTGACCAGAGTCTGAGTGAAGGGTCTGATGGATGAAGAGAGGATGCAGCTCCTTCCTCCAGTACTACCTCTGCAGCTTTGTCACTCATCAAGCACCTGATCGTATAGGAAGTTATTCCTGGTCATGGAGTCACGATGTGTGAGGGACTTTCTGTGTGAACATGTCTGCATCTGTGAGAAAAGAATAAGGCTGAGACCAGTCAATGTGAGATGAGTTCAGGCAGAACCAGCCTGTTGGACGCCAACGCAGAGTTAGTCTCAATGATATCACTTTTAGACTCATTGGATTTTCTCTTTTTTATCATGTAGTAAATATTTTTGCATTGTGTAATTTTCTGTTTTTTCCTGGACTCCATCTTCAGATGGAAAATGTTTGTAGAGTCAAAGCTTGGTGTTTGTAAGAAAATTCACATTTTCTATCATAATAAGAGCTTTGGTCTAATTGACATGATGCCAGAGTAGAGCTGTCCTCCGACAAGCAGGCTGTCATTATGGCAGATGTAGCGGAATGAAAGTTCTATGAATCCTGGATGCACTGAATGATCGTTTTTGCGCATGCACAGGTCGAGTATCTTATACCAACATGGCGTGACCCCTGATGACACCGGTAAGTCTATATAGTCATGACGAATACAGCTCAGTCCCTTAATCTTCTACTGAAACACGATGATTCCAAAGGACCGAACGCTCTGACAATCATCCGGGATTCATAGAACCGTAGTTACAGTCGTAATTTTCGTTCTATTTCATCCCTGCTGACCACCAGAGGCGGTGCTCAAAGCACTGGATGACAATTACTAACAAAGTCCTGAGGAATCACACACAGAAAAAGAAACAAATTTGAAAAACATGCCCACCTCACTGGGATGATGAGTGCTGGGATGGGATCCTCTTCAACAGGTGAAAGGCAGCCAGGTTAACCATGGAGAACCTAGCAAAAGTATTTGGGGATGCTCCAGAGTACCCCATTCACAGCAACCCATGGCACACTAATGGTCCTGGTAGTGTCAGTCAGTCGTGTGCCAGGGCATCCTGGCCCAGGGGACTGGCAGACAGAACCAAGGTGGGCAATGTGTCGTCTCTTATGGCACAAATAGGTCTACAGCTGCTTTATTGTACCTCTCTCATATCAACCCCACTACCTCCGGATGGACCCTCCACTCCCCAGGTGGTGGGCCAAGACAATATATTGGCCAGTCCATTCTGCACCCCTGGAATGTGAGCTGCAAAAAGAGGACCTGCCCAGAGTCAATCTCAGCAACGTTATTATGTATCGACCGTGTTCCTCCCTGATGGTTGATATGAAAGACCAATGGTCTAACCGCGCCAAGACATGATGCCTTTGTGCAGGCCTGGGAGGAGGTGTTGTATCGCCCACTGCACAGCCTCCAACTCCAAAACCTTGATGTGCTTCAGTTTCTCCCATAGAGACCAATCTGTCGCTGCCACGTGGTGGATGTGTCGGTGGAGACAGCCTCTCGCCGAGACGGCAGTGAGCCCAGTGGAACCTCTCTCATTGCATCTCGCCACTGAGCCAGTGATGCAAGGCATTGAGGGGACACCAGCAGTTTTCTGTGTCGGTGCCGTGTACGAGATGGGTCCAGCCTTGAGCTGTTGAAAAAGGCTGAGGATGGTTGAAAATGAAAAGGGTTTATTGCATTTATGTGCCATTATTTGAGGAAGTGTGCAGTGAAACTCTGATAAAAAAAAAATGCTGTTAAAGGGTTAATAAAGGAGCCATATTGTGACGACTTCCTGAAGTTTCAGAAAGGGCAGGAGTTTTTAAAGAGACAGAGACCCAATTTCAAGGCATTTAATTACAAAGTCACATTGCTTTTAAATCACATTTTCATTACAAGTGAAGGTAACAGTTACTCCTTTGTGCTATAAAATGCCACCATGTGGCTTGAAAATACACATTATTACTCCTCTAACAAACTCTAAACTCTCAAGGCCGATTATCAAAACGTTTTATCTTGCATGTAGAGATCAGGTTGTATGAGAACAACCTGATCCTGAACAACCTGAACCTATAAACGACAGGTTCTCTGAAATCCAGCCAACTTGGCTGAACTTTGGAGAAGAAAGCCTCGCCTCGATGAATCGAATAATTTACAACATTTTAAAAACTTTAGCATCTTTATGAGCAAATTCAAATCCTGAAAACAGCAAAACGACTTCTCACCGCTCAGAAGTCGGGAGGGGGCCGTCATAAAAATCTGACAAAAACAATTTGGATCGGGAAAAATGAATCTCAGTGGCTGTCAAAGTTCTTGCTGAGCTTCGAAGAACTTCATCAACCCCCATCAGATAATAACGCCATATTTGTGTGTTATTGCCTGACAGGGCATCCAATCACAAAGATGGAAGTAAGCATTTCTTAAAAGATGACAATTTTTTTTTTTGGTGAAACTGAACCGCAAGAAATTTAACTAACAACACCATAGATGTGCTTTCGTGTCAGTGTGTGCGCGTTAGTTCATAAAGACTGCAAAAGGACGAGATGAACGGCAAAAGATGTTCACCGAACACGTCCGGATTACTGAAAGCCAAAGAAAGCCGAGTTTCATATGAATATTTATTTAAAAATCCATAGTTCAATACAGAAATAGTCATCTATGTATCATCAGACAATCAGTACTTCGCCATGCTTTATCTGATCAATCACGGGTTCAGAAAAAGTACAAGATATATAGATTTATAGACGTTTTTCTTTTTTTTAAATCCCAGAAACTGAACTTTGTCCAAAGGAAACACAAGAAAGCAATAGAAACACCAACACAAAGTAGATACGGATCAAATCGTTTTCAATAAAACAGTTTTCTGAAGAAGGCATCGCACAATTCCAAGAGTCAGTGAAAGATTTAAGGCCATTTTGTACAGTTAATTCCTCATGTAGGTAATCTGGAGATTTCAAAACACTCAGTTTTCAACAAAAGGAACTGGTGCATCCCTTTTAAAACTGTACATGCAAACATAGTAGTGCACGTCGTTAAGAAGATATGACAAGCATACAACATATTATTTGGATACCTTTAGTAAACAAAAATCTTACGTGTGTTAACACCTCACTTGGTATAATAATGTATATGTAAAAAACCTCCTATAAATGTGCCTTGCACACAGAGTAATTTACATGCACGCATACACACACACACACTTTTATAAACACACTTCTGGCTTCATGAATAGGCAGATTTTATGATGTGTGGCACCATGGATTAAATATATATATATATATGTTGGCCCAGCCAAGAAAAACCTGGAGCAGCAAAGACGGCATGAGAAAATTAAGAAAAAGAAACTAAAAGTCGAAACAATTTGCTTCACATGAGAAACATCTCCATCCTGATCATCAGTCAATGTGTAAAAAACATTCAAATCTGGAAAATAGAACGTTTTAAATTCCAATTTAAAGTCAGGATTCTGGTCATATTTATGGAAGGACATAATTAATGTAGTCAGTTAAACAGGAGATTGTACACATGGATTTGTAAGAAATTAAAACATCACACACCATGTGGTGATGTTAACTAGCTGTTGCCTGTCCATCTTGGTGTGGGTGTGTACAGAGTTTATGAGTGTCACCATGTGGCCAATCGAGTATTTCATGAAATGGTAATAAAATGATTTAGATTGGTTGGCCACAGAAATCTTTCCAAGAACGGAATCTCGGAATGTCGATATTTCGTCACGCCCAAAACATTTTGTGAAAACTTGTATTAGTTGCTGGGATATTAGTCACTTTAAGCAGTGTGTATTCAGGACGCTGGGTGGCTCACTCAGTAGAGTGTGCGTCCCAAGTGCAGCGGTGGTACTAATCGATGGAGTTGTCCTGGGTTCAATTCCCAGTCTTGGGCCATTTGCTCCATGTCTTCCCCTTCTCTCTCCACCCTATTTCCAAAAAAATCTCTCTCGCTCTCTATTTTATATATATATATATATATATATATATATATATATATATATATATATATATATATATATATATGTAAAACGGCAGTGTATATTCCTTTTTCTGGGTTTTCTAAAGTTTGGGTCAGTAATGAAAGAGGAAAAGGGTATTGAGATTATCTTCAGACATCTAAACAAATCCCTAAAAATGTCATCTCTGAAGTTTGTTTGTACTTTAAACGTTACAAGAGATGAAAACAGTCGTTAGCAATTGGGGAAAAAGAATATCATCACTGATGATTCTTTTTATCCCTGTTTTATTGACTTAGATGAATACTAGGCCTTATAGTTAGTGTCACGACTTTTTGGAATAAACCTTTAGGGAAATTGGAGCGTTACCATCCCACTCGGCATCACCTAGACAAGCCTGCTTTAATTTTCCAAATGAAATAAAGCAGCAACAGCTTGTCAGAAAGCAGTTCACTCATCACTCTATAGTCCTTTCTCTGGCACTTCCTTTTTAATCTACAGTTGAACTTATAATCTATAAACTACCTGAACTCTACCTGGCACAGTTTTACATGGCAAGTAAGTAGTCAAAGTTAATCAATGCAGCCCGTGGTAAACCCCACAGTGCAGGATCGGTTTCCGGTCTTGTGCTTGTGTTCTACGCCGCGTCTGCTGGAGTAACGAGCTGCTCATTTTGACCTGCTGTCCTAATGATGTCTCCAGCTAAGCTTTGAACACAGCAGTTGTGCTAAGCTAGTTGGGCTGCAGTGATCGCACATGAGAAAGAGGGAGAAAGAAAATGCCATAAGTTTGGGATTCAGAGGCGACTGTTGTAGGTCTGATAGGGAAGTTACTTTTTGAATAAGTAATTTCTCAATGTACTCTGTGTTTAAGCCTAAAAGATTGAATTTATCCGATTAAAAAATATTTTATTAGGAGTCTTATCCTATATTTCTCATTTTGACATGTTGATACCCATCAGGCTCGTAAATATAATATTTAGCAATATTAAGTGCTTCATCCCTGTGTGGAAAGATATTACTTCAGTAACCTTTTTTGACTTTACCTGCCGTTACGTTGTTTGATTCAATCTTTCATTCTCATTCATCGCTGACAGCACAGATCGGACCGCATCCAACCCACATTCACAACGAAAACAGAAGACATTGGTATCAATTCATCAGACGTTGTCGGCGGATGACGACCCGCACAGACCCTGGCACATACAAATACAAATATTAAAAGTTGTGTACAAAGTTGTATCAAAGCCATAAGGTGTAATAAAAACTTGCGAACACACGCACAGGCTCGCCACAAAAGAGCCAAGAAGAAAAGCAAGAACCAAATGCAAACAATGGGATAATTTAGGTTTTTGATGCATTTTTGACCACTGGGCTCTTTTTGCTCAAACAGCATTTAGTTTGAGAGCAGCTGCTGAGGTGTTAAAACACGGAGGGAGGAAAGTGGTGTGAGGACACAATGACATGAAACCCCTTGGCCATAATTAACAAGGAAGTTTGGATGGGGAAAAAAAAACAAGACTTAAATATGAAGACAGTAGCTACATTTCCATTCAACAGTCAATAATGCTACATTAAATTTAGAGTCGCTCAAAAATGTCTCAAGTGTTGTAAATTTGGATTCATTTCGAAAAATCTGGACTTGGGGCAAACCAGAAAAGTCTGATTAGATATGTGAGAAAAGTAAGAATCCACAATATGCTAGCAGTTCTGTTTAGCTTGGCTACGGAAGCTATGCTAGCGCAAAAGAGTCAGCTGACATTTGCAAGTTGCTGTAAAAGGGAATCTGTTCAAGGCTGTAGAGCTTTATTAACTTTGAAAAACTGGTTTATATATATATATATATATATATATATATATATATATATATATATATATATATATATATATATTATATATATATATATATATATATATGAATGTATACGACCAACAACATGCTATCGGTCCAGTTCAGTTTAGCTGTGGACGGTAGGCTAGCTAAAAACAATCAGCTAATGTTGGAGACCACCTGACATCTGGCTATATCTTTTTACTTGTATAAGTATATGTTGTAAACATATTAATGCTAACCTTAAATAGAAAAGGTGACATTATGATGTCATGGTACATTTCTAAAATTGAGAAAGGTTAGCATTTCGTCAGCACAAAACGCAACTGATTTGTTTGACTATGTAATCAAATGTCTGGCGATGGGATTGGAATTCAAACATTTTTGAGCTGCATTCAATAAACAGCGTGTGTCTTGTCTGGGTTAGAGTGATGCACAACACTTCCCATTGTAAAGACAAACCTTTCGAACTTCGAGAATTAGAGAAATCAAATGCGAAATTCTTTCAATAAATGGAAAGCAGGAAAGAAGCATAAGTTGGATGGAAACACAGCTAATAAACGAGTGAGAGGCACAAGGGAAGAGAAGTTAAGCGAGACACAGGAATTTACCTCCCACAAACACATGTATGGAGAAAAGAGGTAGTGCAGGGTCACTGTGCATGCACTTGACTGAGGCTACACGCATGCAAAAGGTCAACGCAAACACCAGAATACAGTCCAGTACGGTACAGCACGGTACGGTACAGAAGGGCTACCAGGACCTGCACTGCAGCTACCTGACATAAAGCCAGGAGAAGAGAAAGTATTACAACCGTCATGGTGAGACTGTATGTATATAAAAGTATCAACAGTAAAAATCCTTGCTAGCATTTACTGTAAACAATGAGTCAGAGAGAGAAAAGAGAAAGAAGATACGTTTCCTTTTTTTTTTTTTTTTTTTCTTTTTTTACAGAAGATTAAATGACTTCTTTTCTTTGTCTGGAGACATTCTCTTCACATTTTTTCCGAGCTAAAATCCAGATCATTGACTTCCGCGTTTTTGCTTCTCCTTTCTCCGCACAGTTTGAATCTGCCGGCTCTCGCCGAAGCTTCTCTATGTTTCATTGACACTCACACGTACACCATAGAAGAAAAAACAATAAACATCCTATCAAAATCCAGACAATTACAGGAATGCTCGAAAGTGGAAGTAAACAGACTCTTGCTGCGTTTTCCTTCTAAAGCACCTCTTTCCCGGCGTGACATGCAGTTTAGTTTCCTGACCGCGAGAAAACCCTTCTCCCCCCCCAGGGCCGACCATGACGGCAAAGCATGGAGAGCAGCTTTAAGGGGACGGAAGTATTTTGCACGTTAAGTTCGGAGAACACCTGGCTGTAAGACTTTTGACTCTCTCCCCCTCCTTATATCTGGGTTTGGACGGGCTGCCCCGGCGGCGTGTAGGGAGGCGGCGCCGGCGAAGGCTTTATCCTCCGGGTCCGCATGTAGGACAGGAACTGGTCCGGGATCTCGGCCAGCACGTCTTTGGCGAGCCGCGCCATGCTTAGAACGTGGTTCCCGCTTCTGTCTATGTAGTCTCTGAATGGGACAAACTGGGAAGGAGAAACGAAGGATTACTGGAAAGATTCGGAAAAACCGTCACCGACATTAATGGCAACTTAGAGTTACCAAAAGTTCAAATCTCGTAGCATCTCTGGCTACTTTAATGCATTCGAAGCCCTTAGAATGACTTCCTTCTCTGCTAAAGAACTGGCAAATATAATTTCAGAGCATAGTTTTCTATTGTACAGAAAATGTGAAACAGAAAAACAAGCAATAAAGATGAATAAAAGTCAATCGTATCATCTTGATTTGGGTCTAATTTTAGTCATTCGGAGAGACAAACAAAAAGGTCACGGCAGTTCCAGCCGACGCCTCGGGCTCAAAATTGGATGTCTGTTTTATTCTGGCGCCGTGTACATGTTTAAACATTTTTACACTAAATACAGAGAGGAGATGTGTGTAAATCCAATAATTTAACCACAAGTGTCACTTCACCTCATGACACTCAATAAGTTTTCATGAAGAATGGCTGCACATATACTGTCTATAAGGTCTAAAATATGATTAATAGCAAAATAACAAACAAATAAAAAAATCACAGATCAAAAATACTCCTTTATTTTATTGGATGTTTCCACCTGCAGTAACAAGATCCCATTGCCGTGTCATTTGGGTTATTAACTTGCTCATAATGAGAATCTGCAGGCTGAGCTGGAGCAATACTCCGAGGGTGAAACCAAGTTGTTTTTTCTTCTTCTTCCCCGTACGAAGACACTGTATGTGTGCGTGTCCGCTTATTAAAAAGCCGGCTAATGAGCATCCGTGTGGCTGTATGGGAGGGTGCCAGGCAGCGAGGTATGATGATGATGACATAAAGGTCACAGTCAAACAAACTGCTCAGCCTGACTGCACGTCTTTTCTTTGCGTCGGTGCCAGGATATAGCATGAATCCGACTGGTATTACGAGTGATGCTTTCCAGCATGGCAGCACCAAAAAGGATAGGTAGGAATGGTAAACAGGGTTAAAGAAATGAATGCTTGAGATATAAATGTTCAAATCTAAAGAAAGCCTAAATGCTTTCTTGGCTTTTCAAACATGACATTAGGACAGTGAGCAGAGCTGAAGGTCTCTGTTCATCTACTTTAATGAGAAAGGGCCAAGAGGTGGCTCTTTGTGCGCGTCTATGTCAAGGTTTTCCTGTGAGAGCCTGGTGCACCCATGGGCGCCAGATTATGTTATAAAGTGAGGGAAGGAAGCAGGAACACTCCAGAAAATATCAAGGATACATAATCACCAAATTATATACATAAAAACGCATTGAACACATTGAAGTTTGAGAATATCCCAGTTTCTGAAGAGGCACTGAAAAATGAAAAATGAAGCAAAGAAGTGAGGATAAAATGGATACCGAAGCCAATATTTAGTGACATTTCTACAAACATGACCTCAATTTAATGACAACCTTCATCCCGAATGACCCCAACCACAGAACAAAATTGTGCTGCAGCCTTACACACAGTTAGACCTGAAACTGTCTAACTGTGTGTAAGTCTGAGGTGCAGAAAAGGGATTGATTACCTGAACAATGTCTCTCTCTGCAAATCTTCCCCTGGATGAGATTCTGACTTCATCGCCATCCAACTCGACCATGGCTGAGAAGAAGACAAAGCGTTAAACCACGACCTCCAAGTCAATTCTGGAGGCCGAATTCTAATCTAAGAGTGTAGCTTGAAAATATTAAAGTATCCGAAGCTTTTTTTTTTTGTTTGGTTTTTTCATATTAGGCTTACCATCAAATTCTGCTGGACCGACTCCAACAATAATAATTGACATTGGGAGACATGAAGCCTACAACACAGAGAGAAAGGAAAGCAGATTAAGAGGTTCCCAAACTTTGCATTTGTTAAAGCAAGGCATTCATCTTTCAAGTGTTTTTCAACCACTCAAAGAAAGAATAACCGCAGCGTCGGATTATAACACATCTGACCAACAAACAGTCTGATCATCAGCTGAGCAATGCCATTTGATCTCACACTACAATAACCAGATGCCTTACTCACCTCAGTATGCTTAGGGCTGAAAACACAACTGACCACATGACCTACTTTCTGACTGGCATGGCTAAGATTATCTGAGAAATTTGCGTCATTGCCTGGCTGATCCTTGAAAATGAAACATGAATCGACCAAAAAAAAAAGAGTAAATAAAAAAATGACACGGCGTCCCGGCAAAAAGCAACAAGCCATGTTCTGAGGGAAACATTCATACTGTAATAAACAATAAACTTAATTTAAATGTGACTAAATTAGATAAATTGTTCAGTCAACCATGCTGCTGCCTGGCGCTGTTCGCTCGGTCTGAGCGGGGGTTTGTGTGATTGTTGGGTGTGTGCCTGTAGTGCCGTGTGGGTTGAGAAATCAGTCACTCGTGTTACAGATCAGGAAACCTCCTAGAGCGGCTGAACTCACCGACAGCCTGCAAATGACACGAGTTTACGTGGCGTTTGTGGGTCGAGCTTTTGAAGGGTGTATTATAGGGAGGATATCAATGGTGTGTGTGAGAGAGAGTTGAGTGTATCCAAGTAATGTTCTGACCTCAGGCAGAAGAGAGAGACAGATGATCTGATCTAAACATGTTTTTTTTTTTTGTTTCCTCTCGGTAAACGTTTCCCTTTCGGCCTCTATTCCCCATAGTTTTGTCTTTTCCTTTTTCAGCTAATATTTGTCCTTTCCAACCGTTTTACGCTCTCTATCGTTACGTCGTCTCTCTACGTTTTGCAGCCCGTGTTTCTCTCAAAGGCTTCGGTCGGGTTCTTCACAGGAGCCCTTTCGCTTTGTTTGTGTTCTCCGCGACACCCTTTCCTCTGGCGCTCGCTTCGAATCGACAGCAATGGAGCGGACAGGGAAGGAGCGGAAAGCACACTGTTAGAAGAATATGCAACTATTAATTAAAAAAAAAGAGCAGAGTAAAGGCTCTCTTGTTACATAACGTCTCTAGTGGCAAAGCAGGGAAAGGAAGATCATTTCTCTTGACAGCTTCTTTCCTTCTTCAGTTCGACTTTTGCTTCTGGACGATAAAAATAACTGATAAACGCCACAACGTGCGATTTTTTTTCCTGACGTCTCATTGTCAGTGAAGTTAGAAGCTGACAATTATCCACAAAACAAGCTGATTAGAAAATAGCGACTTGTTTTTTAGCCGGCAGTCAGGAGCGACGGGAAAATAACCCCGAAAACAAGACGGCGGTGGCGGATGTTGGATTAATTAAAGTCTGAATCTGATGAAATATGCTCCAAAGGAAAATATGAAAAAATGAAAAACGAACAGCTGACTTCTAAAGAATTCAACTGAGGCTTTTAAATATACGAGTGGAAGTTATTGCTGATCACTGATCACATACTAAACTAACCTGATATATTTCACGTATATGATGACGTATCTGGTTCTGTATGTCATCTCTAGGTTTTAAAGTTTTAAACTACTCTTTTGAAAATGAAACCCAAGTTTCTGCTTGGGTTTGACAATGTTATTGTGCAAAGTCCAATTATTTCTTCATGTGTCACGTTTTCCTACTGAATAAAACTTTTTTTTTTTTTTAAAGAAGATGAGATGATGCTACTGCAATAAAACATTTATTTTAAAGGTGCTTGTACAAAATTTTTACAAGAATTTCTAATAATCTTCATGGACATTGTACACAATCTATACGTAATTACTAAAAAAAACAGTTTGTGTCACATTGATCAACTCTATTTTTATAATAAAGACCATAGCCTCCTAAAAAATATTTAATATGAAGTATTTTTACTATATTTTATTGCGTTACTCATTAAGTTTACGAAGCAGAATCAGTAATGAGGGCAATTATGCTGGAAATCTGAGCTTCAGATTCGGCTCTACCGGTCGAGAGGTGTCGGCGACAGACCAGCTTACTCACATTGACAATCGACTCCTTCGTTTGGGCCATGTCCGAGATGACGCCGTCGGTGATGATGAGGAGCACAAAGTACTGAGAACCGTCCTTCACAGAAGCAGCATATCTAGGAATAGACATGCAAAAAACATCTAGATTTTAGCTTTGAACAAAAACCTGGAGCTCTTAAGATCAAGCTCAAAACCAGCTTACAGCTGAGGAGTGGCCTAGTCAAAGTTTGGATTTATATTTGACTGGAATGGTGTAGTACAATCTAACAACACACTAAGGTTGTAAAATTAAAAGACACCCACAAAGTGGTTAATTTATGGTTAAATACTTTTTAACCTAAGGGCATGTTCGTTTGGATGACATATTTTTCATTATATATACACTTATTTGTCACTTAAAAACTGACTTTTGTATTTACTCGGATTATCTTCGACTAGAATTAACATTTCTTGGACCATTTAATTGTGATAAAAAAGCAAAAAACAGTAGAAAAAGGACAGCCTGCAAGTCGCTTGGAAACAACCTTGTAACGGTTCCCAGATTGATGTGCTCTTAGAGCTTCCTCACTAAAGTCATGGCGAATGTACTTTACTGTTCGATAGAAAGTGGTTCTTGCACACAAACTTTGTGCTTCCCCACATCTGTGTACGTTTGTACACTTATTAAGTCTAATAAAGTGCTTTGTTTGAGTGTCCTTAACATCTATATTCAGGTCTTTTCTCACAAACCCTGCTTTCGTCTCGTCATGCCGGTAAGATTTCAGTAAATTATCCCTCAGATCTGTGAAATAACCCGATGAGACATCACTCGGGTGCACCTCTTTAATTACATCCTTGTATGAAAAGTTTCTTAATGTGTTTTTCAGAGAACTTTGTCTGACGCACCAGCTCTCCTTCCCTGCAGCATGATTTATGCTCTCATCGCGGCGCAGACAGAAACAAACATGTAATCAACTCCTTAAATAAAAACACTTCTTGTTAGCTACCTGGCAACGCTCGCCTCACAGAGCTCATTACGGGGAAGAAGAAAAGCCGGTGAGAGTGCGTTTGGTGTCGCTGCGTTCGTTCGCACATGGAATCCATTACATAAGCAGTGGTAGAAAACACGAGTGGAGGAGCAGAGAAAAGTTGGTTTAATTACGCTACAACTCCAAAAGTGAGTGTGTGTGGTACCTGGCGACGTGGTTGATGACCGGGGAGAAGTTGGTGGGTCCGTAGAGCTGAACGGACTTCAGACTCTGATAGTAGGCCTCCATTACGCCGTCAATGCCTGTGCAGTACGGGTTCTGAGGGTTACCGTTCTGAAAACGTGAGGAAAGGTCAGTTTTTGCAATATCTTGGACAAGGAAGTGAACGAGACAGAGCAATGAGATGTAACTGAATCCTTAAAGGGGCAGTGTTATGTTGAAACAATTTTTTAAGCTTTACATAATCTTATGATGTTATTCCATCACCAAAAGCTGCCTCACAGAGCATCCCTCTTCCCCACTCAGCTCCTCCAGACTAGCGCCAGCAATCAGCAAACATCTGGTGGAAATGCACGTCTGCTGAGCTCAACAAAAAAGTTCAGTGGAGGAACGCTGTTGTGATGACTTTCTAAAGGCAGATTGTCGGAAAGAGCGGGAGCTTCTTAAAGAGACAGGCCCAATTTCAAGGTGTTAAAATTGATTAATCAAAAGTTCTTTCAAGTCATGTTTGATATATACAGCGCTGAAGGTAATGGTTACTTTATTGTGCTACATAGTACTGCCCCTTTAAAAAAAAAAAGTTGAAAAAGTTTTGCTAATGCTCATAAAGACACTATCATGTCCTGGTCTTCCACTCACCAGGGCAAACTCATGGGACACCCGTCCGTCCGGCGGCAGCTTGGCTCCAAAGCCAAGTGCGGGGAACATCTTGTCGCTGTCGTAGTCCTGAATGATCTCGCCGACCGCCTTCAGGGCCATGCCGTAGGCGTTCAGCTGGTATGGGCTCATGTAGTGGAGGGAGGTGGGCTGGGCTGGGTTTCCTGCGACACGCAAAAAAAATTCAAAGATTGTGAGCTAATAATTTATGGCCCATCTGCTTTATGAAAATATCTGGCTCTATTGCGGTCGCTTCACAGATGCAGCGCTCATGTGGCATTTAGTTTGACCTCCCAAGTTGTGACTTATGTCAGTGGCTCGCTTGCTTCATAAAAACGTTTTCTGACAGAACCACAGGATCAAGTGCGCCGACAGTTCAGACTCATTGGTCTGTCCACTGCTTGAAAGCATTTGCTCCATTTAACAGAACTTGGTTTCATCGCTGCCCCCTTCTCTGAATGGCTTGAACTCAACCCTAAATGCATAACTCGGCCCGTAATCAACACCATCTGAGCCTGTTAGTGCGCTGAGCTTTAGCTGCCAGGTGTGATGGAGGGGGGCCATTAAGGAACACTTGATTTCTCCATTTGCATATGTTTGAATAAATTTCCCTTATGTGCTTAGAGGTTGTTTTTTTCTGTCTTCAGGCAACTCTCCAAGTGTGAATGCGTGCAAGGTTCGAGTGTGTCCTCACCGTTGGAAGCTGTGAAATCAATGGCCACCGTGAAGTTGATCTGGGTCCTTTGAAAACAAAAGGAGACACCATTTATTAGTCAGGACGTAGCAGATATCAACGCTTGGGAAAGACTGAAGCTTCGTTCGAAATCAAAAACACTCAACATGTTGACCTCTGGAAGCATGTGGTTAGGCAATCTGTCACGGCAAATCCTCAACGCTGCCGCTTGTACACTAATCTTGGAAGTCGAACGCCATTTGGGTCATCATCCTTGTTACCTTCACAGGTCAATGAAAAGCAGCGACATCTCTTTGAGCCCGCAGTTAATTGCCCTCTTGTTCAAACTAATGGGTACGAGGAGTAGACCTAATCATCCAACAGGGTGTAAATGTCATGGTCTCGTTTTTTGTTCCCAGTCAGTCTTGTGTTTAGTTTGGCTGGACTTTAGCCCCTCAGGCAAAGATACATTATATCACTGGTCAACCTTCAAGAACTGGTCTGGCAGCACTTGATGTGGTTTTTAACATAAGTATATGTAATGAGTAGTAAACCAAAAGAATCAGTAATAGTGGAAACAATATTTTTACAGCCATATAAACACTATTTAGTCACTTTACTCAATCACCGGAAAATAACGAGGCTTTTTCAGCTGTAGGGACACAGGGGTCAGTAAGTTGATTCTGCTCCATGTCCTCATGTTGGCAGACACAAGCTCCATCCGAGCAGTCTGAATTTTTCATGCTCCTCTCCTGCCATACCTCTGGCCGTCACAGATGCACAAACCTCGACAAATCAACTCAAACTGTGAGGGCAAAAACAGGACGAGGCGAACTCAACAGCAATGAAGAGCGAATGTGTTACAACCACAACAAAGGAAACGTAACTGAGTGGAATAATCATTCATATTTCTGCATGATCTGCATTAAACACAGTTAAAGCCAACTGATGAGTCAATCTGAGATTTGAAGCCATCCAGATCTGATTTCTGCAAAGCTCTGACCTTCCTCAATCGACATTAGCAGATTCAGATTTTCTTAAAGTTGCTAGGCAGCCCAGTCAAATCATGTGTGAAAGAAAAGTCATTGTTAAAGTGGGCTTTACTATTTCCACTCAAACTAAAGACAGATCTGTAGCTGATATTTTCACCTGTCTTTAGATTGTCTCCAGAAATAGCCGGTGTCTAGGTAATAAATTGACTAATTATTGTTTTGTGTTTTTAATAAATAAATAAATAAATAAATAAAACAGTCACCTGAAATCTGGTCCATTATTCAGTCTGCAAGAAAATAATCTTGCACTTTTGGCCATGCAAAAAGTGCTTATTTATTCCTTATGCATCACCATCAGTGATACTGGAATACTAAAACACTTCTAGTCACTTTATACTTTTAATCTTCGCACTAAAAACGCTGTTACTAAGTCGCTTAGAACTTCTAAGTAAAGTGCAACCCTTCAAATGCTAATATGCGTCTTGCTTATCTGGCATGTACATGCGGCTGATGCAACGCACAGTCACTCTATACCACTGATTCACCGACGCTGATTGAGAGCGACACTTTGCCAAGAGAAGCAGGGAGGACGTAAACCATCCAGGACAAGAAGTAGATCCTGGATGCTGTAAAATAACACTTGGTCATCTGCAGGACCTGATTAAAAACTATCCTGCTTCCCAAAATGTTACTGCATTTTCTGAAACTCTTGAGTTTACATTAGCTCCTCGCCTGGAGCCAATGTAAATAAAACATGAGCACATACGTGGTTCCTATAAACTTGGCAGTGGTCAGGAGGGAAGTGCTGCATGGAATATGCAAAATAGTGCAAACTCTGAGGACGGACAGGGCGATGTGGCGTAAAAATAATTCATTTTCCTCGGTTTCTTTTATAAATGACAGGAAATGTTTGTTTTTTTTCTTTTAAAATGGTTTCAAACCTTCTTTAGAATTACACCTCATCAGTAACCAATGCAAAAATATAACTTGTTTCTTGAAATCTTTAACACGAGAATATTCCTGCCAAAAACAAACCAAAAAAAAAACCCCAAAACTTTAAATCGTGTTCAGAAAAGACGTTTTCTTGTTCCTCTGTGCCAGGGTGGAGTGTGTATGCATGAGTGCACTGAGCGACCTGAAAACGGCATCAGATGTTGAGGGAAGCAGATGTTTCTTGTTGGACTGCGTCCATATGGCGGCAGAAGAAGCCAAACGCCCGATCGCTTTGACTCCTCTACATCGACCTCCGTCATCACCTTCACTTTTTTTTTTTTTTTTTGAGTTTTTAAGCCTTCATTAGAGTCGAAAGAAGGAAAAAATGCATACACACATATATGTATACATATATATATATTGATGCATATAGGTTTCTAATTTGTTTTAAACTCCTGTCATTATTCTTTTGTAGCATAACTTGAAGACATTTACAGGACAGAAATGAACTGCGATTAGAGAAAAGGCCTGAATATTACTAGATTTCATTTTCTCTTCTATTGTTTAAACATTACCTCCTTTTTTAACTTCCTTGTATCCTTCCTAGTATCATTTCCTCCTTCCTACTTAGGGTCTTTCCTTCCTCGTGTCCTTCTTTTAGTTTTCTTGCTCTTCTACCTTCTATATTTCCTCTGTATCCATTCTTTTGCCCTTTCTTATTTTTCTGATGTCATTCGTTCCTTCCTGTTGGTATCTGTCCCCTTTCTTTCCAATTGATCCCTTCCTTGTCTACGGTTTTCCTTCATTGAATTTTCCCTTTCTTCCCTCTTGTTTTGCATCTGTCCTTTCCTTCCTTCTCTACTTCCTACCTTGCGTTATTTCTTTTCCTTTCTTTCCCAGCATTCGCATACTTTTCTGTAAACTAGCCTCACGTCTTTCTGTCTGACATCTCTCACTCCCTTCTTTCCTTATTTGTGTCCAATCTCATTTCCTTCCTTCATTCCGTGTCGTGCTGATTACGTATTTAATGTTTGTCCACTGCATAATTATGTTTTAATAAATTCATACTTACCTTTAGTGTTTTATATTGTAAGATGAACATAAACTGTTTCAAGTTTCCAATTCTGTCTTTTCGAGGAGCTGCCTCGTTTTCCGTTTTTTCTCTTTGATTTTTTATTTATTTATTTTTTTCTTGTCCGCTTCTCCCGCTAATGCTAGCTTCTCAGAAAGATGACAGTGCCAGCAGAGTTCCCTCCTGCCTCTATTCTGGTTTCTATGCTCAATTCACAAACCAAACAATATCTGTCACATTGAGTGACAGAGCGGTCTTCAAAGACGGTGTTAAGAATGAAAGATATTGGCAACAATTCATCCCTTCATCATCACCCCTGCACAAAACGGGGCTTCTTTGTTACAATTCACGGGTCGCGCTATCAAAGGGAAGGAAAAGCTTGAGAGCGCTCAATCTGGACTTACGGAGAGCGCCTTCAAATCAGTCATTTATGCTAATCCAACCAGCAGATCTAGTACCTAATTAGGTTCAATTGAACAATTAGCTGATTAGGTTGAAACTGCAAAAAGAGCCGTCAGTCAGACGACAAAGAACCGGTGACGACAGAAGCAGGTAGGGAAAAGAGACTCAATGCGACAGTCTATCTGGGCAGGTAGACACAAGGAAAATGCTCAAACGGAAGAAAACGTCTGGGTGTGTGATCACACATTAATGTGCAAGAGTGCGTCTTTGTGTCTACGCACACAGACAAACAGCCCATTACGCAACTGGAGTAAGAGCGACAGGACCATTACGGTCCATTTAAGCTGCAAACAGAGAAACCACACTTGGCTCCTAATTTATCCACACAAGGGTGTTGGAGCATCCAGCATACACTCACGATGCAATGCCAAAAAGGACGAAAAAAAAAAAAACACACAAAGTGGCTGAGAAATCCACACTCAGAGAGGACCTGACGATGGAGGACACTCAGCAGACAGTGAGTGTGTGAACATATGCAGGACACGCGGTGGGAGCGCAGACTTGCATTTTATAACTGAAAACACGTCCTCAGTTGAACTGGATAGCTGTGGCATTTAAGTATTTCACCACTATCTCCTTTTTTCTTACCCTGCCACTTGCAGGTTCTACCAACTCAAATTTAAGACATTTATAGGCCCATTAAGAGTGAAATTGAAGACCTGTGTCATGACAGATGTACTATCAATGTAAAAAATGTATAGTTTGGTGTATTAGAAGCTAGTTACCTGTAGCTGACCCCTTGAGTCACAGAGCGCAACAAAGATGTCTGCATGCAACTCAAATTTTTCTCTGACAGAAAAGAGGAAACTTAAATACATTAACATGTGACGAACGTGTTAAAGGCCAAGAAATTTGAATAACTGAATTTTAGCTACATACATTTAAGACTTTAGGAAAGCGTCTGTTCTTCAAAAAAAAAAAAAGATAAAATAAAAATAAATAAAAATTGTGGATCTTCAAGAAAATCTAAAGAAAGAAGCAGTGTGTGTGTGTTTTGTTTTTGTTCCTTTGGGTCTGCGCCACAAAAACAATTCAAACCCACACAACTGTTTCAAAAAACTTTTATGAAAGACAAAAAACAAGCTACGAGCTAGCCAACTTCTTTTTGGTAGCCTGTAAACACAAATGCATCAGTGGCATTTTCTGTTAAAGCCGTAGACACGCACTCTCCCCTTTGACAGCCTCCCCCTGTGACTCTAATGAAGGCAGAGTGTGTAGGCGAGCATCTATGCCATGCCTGGCTACACGCGGTCAACCCTCCTGCGAACCTGCGCACCATACATCCATAAGCGCATGCACAGAGACGCGAGGATGAACGCATGGAAGCCGCTACACACCAGGTTGCAGACACACAAACGCTGATCTGTGTGTCTGTCAGTCTCTCTCTCTCTCCCCCCCACCATCCTTTCGCTGTCACCCTCTCACATGCAAATATACATTTTTCCGCCCAGCTCCCTCACATAGAGGGATCATTATCTTTGGCACTGTGCAGACACGCCGTCATGAAGGGATGATTATCGAGACAGGGACGGCGCTCGGCGCGGCGGTCCTCATTAACAATGCGGCCCCCGCGTTTGAGGTGCGGGTTCAAGGCGGGCGCTTACCCTCCTTTGATGTAGTCCAGGAAGGTGACTTCGAATTCCACGAGGAAGGACAGCAGCGTTACCTGGAAACGATAGGGTAACAGTCAACGATCCCCGACGGGACATATGTAGGTGTTTCTCTCTAATTTAATTAAAAAAATGTCCAGTTCTCTTTAACGGGACGAAAGAGGCTGCAGGATGTGGTGAAGCATAAAACCACATTTCAGGTCTTTTAAACTTGGGAAGAAAAACAAAATGAAGCAGAGTTTCTGTCTGGCTTACCGTTCCAGAGTTTTTGTAGTTTTTCTTCTTTTCTTTTTTCTTGGGATTTACCACCTGCAAAAGGGAACATAACGCACTAATTTAAAACTTCACTTATGCAGCAAAGCAGAAATTCCTAAACATTTTCATCCAAAATCATTTTAAATTTATATGTAAAATCAAAAAAGGGATATTTCTACTGTGAGCAGGCTTTAAATATGGAACCTGCAGAGAAAACAGAGACTGTGAGGGAGGAGAAGAGGAAGGACAGAAGGAAGGGTGAATGACAAGTAAGTAAGGAAAGGCAGGATAGATCCAAAAAAAGGAAAGAGAGGAAGGACATAAGTAAAAGAGTAAAAAAAAAAACAAGGAAGAAAGGAAGGGACCAAGGAAGAAGAGGCAAGGAAGGACAGGTAGAGAAATAAGGACACAAGAAAACAAAGAGGGGAAAAAATGAAGGACAGAAAGAAAGAAGGGAGGCAGGGGAAGGAAAAGAATCAAGAAAGGTAGTGAGGAAGGACAGAGGGGAGGAATATGGACACTAGAAAGCAAGGAAGAAAAAATGGAGCGATATAAGAAAGGAGGTACAAAGAAAGAACAAGGAATATAGGAAAAGTAGACATTTAAGGTAAAAAGGAAACAAGAAAGGAAAGAATGGAGAAAGGAATGCAGGGCACAAGAAGGCATCAACAAAAGGGAAAAAAGAAGGGAAGGATGGAGTAAGTAAAAGTAAAAAGCCAAAAGTAACATTCATATATCTATATAAAACACTTTGCACATTTACAGAGCACAAAGTGGACAATCAAACACAAGGACGTATAAAAATAAAAAGACATATGGCATCCTAAACGAGAGCCTTGACTAATTAAAAATGAGTTTTAAGCAGAAAAGTCTGCTGCTTTTTAAAACATTCAACTGAATCAAGGCAATGGAATCCATAATTTAGGATTTGAAACCTTAGTTTGTAACACAAACCACATCACCAGGTGATCGCTCATGAGTCAGGGGTTTTTGTGATTTCAGTTTTTTTGTCCCTTGTGGTCGGATTATTTTTGGGTTGTTGACTTTTGTCATTTGGGTCTTTCTGTATTAGTTTGTTCCTTTGTGTTGAGTTTGTTAGCAAATAAAGGCAGAACAGCAGACATTCTTTAGGAGGAGAGACACGACCAAAGAAAGACACAAAGGAGAAAAATCCCACCTTTAATCAGCAGCATTATGTGCAACATATGAAGAATTGGTGTGAATTTATAAGCCAAATGGACCTCAGATGCTCTCCTCAGATAGACAAAGCTCAAACTCTAAGTCCATCTTCAGCCGTTGCCCTCAATTGGTCCCATCTCTCATAAATCCGCCCGGAGTTTGTAAAACATCCAATAGCTTCGGTAATGAAAGGGGCCAGACAGAAGCAAGGCCGAGACTCGTCTTGAATCCAAAAACGCTGGAGCGTCCCATTAAACTGTGCCAAGGTTAAACAGAGGAAGAGGGCCTCGAGGAAAAACAACTGACAAAACGTGTGGATTTTTTTGTGTGTGTGTGTGTTTCTCCTTGGTTATCTTTGAGCGAGCACCCATGAGGCGAGCGTGCCTTTGGAGATGGAAAGTAAAAGTGAAACAGACGCACTGTCGGCTTATTTCCAAAATAAAAGTAATACAGTGAGGATGTCCTGAGGTCAAGCAGGTGAAGAAAGTTGTTTATTAGTGTGGGATAAGATATAAAAGACAATAAAAGAGTTTAAAGCGAACAGCAGACGTACAAGCAAGACGTTCCCTGTGCTTTTCCCTGTGTGTCAATAAACATATGGAAGCTATTTGCAGAGTGGCTTTGATCTTTTCAAGCATGTTTGAGAAATCCTGTAATCTCCCATGGCAACCATCAGCTGTGCAAAACACCCGGTTGGACATAGCTCCGCCTTCGAGTTCCTGTTCCCTGAAAATCCCCAACTCAATTCCTTCAAACTAGCCAGCAGCTGTTAGCAAACACCTGGTGGAACTACGTATCAGCTGAGTTCATTGCACAAGCTACTTCTCAGTGAAACGCGAGTAAAAGCGTTAAAGGGTTAATAGAAGAGCGATGTTATGATGCTTTCCAGCAGGCGCAGTTTCAGAATGAGTAGGAGTTTTTAAAGAGACAGAGGCCGAATTTAAAGGTGTTAAAATACAAAGTCAAATTTCTTTTAAGTCATATATTTAGTAGTAGCAGTATTTTTAGAACAACTGAAGGTTTCTTGATTGTGCTATAAAGTGGCGCTATACGCCTGGAAAATACATAATAGTGTTTCTGTTTTCATTATAGAAATCTAAATTATTGTCTAAAGCTGATGACTTTTTTTAAACTCTTCCATTTTGCTTCTTTAATCTGAGGCGATAATTTACACATTTTAAAATATTCTTCTGTAACAAATGCTTTAGATCCAGTTGAATGCAATTAAAATTGCAGAAGACTTGATAAAATTTCACAAAACTGAAAAGAAATGACAATAAAAAACATAAAAATAAAAAAACAACTTTGCAGAAATTTGCACACATTCAGATTTACCTCATAGACATTGAACTGGCTTTGTCCGACAGAGAGTTCTCTGTAACTGGTCATGAACTCTCCAATATAGTCATGGCTGCAAGAACAAATGAAGAAGAATGAGAGACGGTTAGGACTCCGGAAAGACTTCACCACATCACATCTGGGGTTCCTCAGGGCTCTATTCTCGGCCCACTTTCATTTAATGTCTTCACGATTGCATATTTCAGAGTATTGCATCATTGCCTTTACAGATGACTGTATGATGACATAATATGAATAAGCAGAGGAGCCAGTTTCCCTCCAGCATACAGACAAAACAATGAAAGTCTTGATATGGTCTCTAAAGCTCCTGCTTGTAAAGTGGTGCAGCATATTGCCTCACCCTAAAGGGTGCAATATCTAAATGGCACCATTTAGTGCCATTTTAGTTCAACGCCACAATTATGCAAGAAAAATAAATTAATTAAAAAATTCCATTTTGTGAGCAAGAGTATGAGAACTTCACACCGTTCCAGAGTAATTACCTGCCGTCTCGGTCCCAGTCGTAAACCTCGACCTTGATTGATCTGGTGGGAGAGACGCAAATTTAAAACAAAGATTTTACCTTATTGAGTCGATTTATGTCAATGAAAGCAAAAAACGGAACAAAAGCAGCAAACAAAAAAATATTTATTTTATTTTTAGAGGCAGAGCCTTCCTGAAGCTCATCTTTACTTCAAAATGTTCTCTACCAGCCCATTACTTATTTTTGATAATGTTCTCTTTTCACCTCGAAATGGATCCGTTTCCCTGTGTCATTAAGTCTTATGAGGAAATTAGAAAACAAAAATAAAGGGCTTGATATGCGATGCTATCGCTCCATCTACCAATATATTTAACAGAAGTAAGGCTCATAGGGAAAGGCATGGAGGAGAGTGAGGGCAGAAAAATAAAAGAACAAGCAGCAAATTAACCCTCCTGTTGTCCTCGGCTTATGTCGACCGAGGACAAGCCCTTAAAAAATATGTTTTTCAATTGCAGCTGCATACAGAAACTTTAATCTAACAGTCCTGCATCAGAACTATGGTGTGCACAACTCAGGGGGAAGTTTAGGCTCAAGCAATCCAAATGTGAACTTTACAAAAGAAATAAAAATAACCAAACCCAGGCCTCAGGTCAGACTGACCGGAAGACTAAGGAAATCACAGCTGGACAGGCAAACAGTATGGAATGGCATCATTGATCTCCGTAAAACTGATATCTTTTCAAATTTCCCCCCCCTCCTGTTGCCCTCGGGTTGACATGACCCGAGGACAAGCCCTTATAAAACATTTTTTAATTGCAACTGCATACAGAAACTTGAAATCTAACAGTCCTGAATCAGACCTACAGTGTTCACAACTCAGATGGAATTTTCTGCTGCAGCAATTCAAATGTGAACTTGACGAAAAAAATAAGAACAACCTCCTCTTGTCTTCGGGTCAAAATGACCCGAAGACAAGAGGAGGGTTAAACCAGAGAGCCCTCTGCACTCAGCCGGAGAGAGTGACGAGCCTCTCGGTTAATTTAGTTTGTCATTTTGAGAGAAGAAAGCAGAGACGGATCTCCTGTGTTACTCTGCACCAGTCTTTAACTAGATAGGGGACTTTCCAGACTGTGGTTTGAACTCGCATGCAGCCCGTTCTCTGAAGCATCTGAGTGATATCTAATTAGAATCCGAACCCCGGCTGAACTTTTCCGTCTTGCAGAACGAGGACGGGAAATGTAAGTCCTCGTTAGCTGCTGAGGAGAGCCGGATGCACTTTACAGGGGGAAAAAAAAAAGAAAAAAAGTCGGGAGTAGAGGGCGGCGACAGTCCGGTCCGACACCGGTGAACGCCGCTCCCGGTTGCCGCTTTCCATCTCCTTTTTTCTTAAGATGACGACGGAAGGAAAACATCTCGTCGTTTGGAGCTTTGATGATGCAACATGAAGCCGTGATTGAGTGCATGTGTGGAAAGACAAGAAAGACAGTCCTCCTTTGTTTTCCAGCTTCAGCTCGCCCTTATCTCCCCGTCTCAGGCTGCAGTCTCATGTGTGGCAGCGTTTGTGCGCCGTACGAGCAGCTTGCCGAGTCCCCCGCTGATAAGACATGGAGCAACTCCACTCCAGCAGTAAGCTTATTGGACCAAACTTAGGATCAATGCTGCTGTCTGTTAGCTCAGCAGAGATAAACCCTGTGGAGGGCTTCTTTGTGCCCTTTTCACTAAGCTGCTGTGGACACATGAGGATCTATCCATTCATTTGTTTTCTTACTTGATAGAGTTGAACTTCCCCAGAGATCTTATGTAACCAAGGAAGAAATGTAACTAAACGCAACTCAACCATGTTCTCATTTTTACTCTCCTTTCTTTGATCAATCTCAGCTGGGGAAAGTTTGCTTAGTAATCAGAGGCACTCTTCAAGATGGGAAGGAGAAAAGAACATGCTTGTCAATAAATCAGCTGCAAGGCAACATGCACAATTGGAGTGGTGGTTAAAAAAAAACCCTCAATATGCTACAGCAATGTAAGATGAATTTATTTCCAAGGATAAAGATTTAGTATTAGTTGCATTTACCGCCAGTCTTCCTCAACTGTGAGAGCTTTGATAGCAAACCCTCGGGTATAGACACTGCGCTCTGTACCTACGAGTTAACACTCCAATTCCCGTCATTCAGTATATCTTTGACAATAAGTGCCACTGACAGCTCCTCCATCCTCTCCACTTCCAGTCAGTGTCGCAGAAAGCTGAGAAAACCTGTTTCCCAGCAGACGTATGTGTCTGCAATCCTCAACAGGATCAATTCCTGACTTGTACTATTTTGAACAGATCAAATCTTCCCAGCTGTGAGGGTATCAGAGTACAGGGGGGTAAATACAAACATGGGAAAAAAACCTAAATGTTTTATGTGTAAAAAAAAATCTTGCATTCCTTTTCTTTAGTTTCAGCGTTATGAGAAATGTATAAACATAAACTCCCATAATTGCAACATTTTAATTTGGTGCGGTTCGCTTTCACACTGCACTGACAAAGAAATCCAAACTAATTAAAAAACCTGTTCCCTCCCCTCACCTGTGGTAGCGCTGGACCAAGAACCACTGAAGGAAACTGCACAAAATCCTCCAAAGAAGACATGAGCGCAACTTCCTTCTTCTTAAAATGTCCACTCACATCCAAATGTACATTGGAACCGAACCAGAGTTCACTTCAACAGAACCGAGACATCTACGTTTTGCTTTTTTGGTCCCCATCAGAGTTCAATTGCACCTTCACACCTCCCCCAAATAAACCAGACTTTCTAGGCCAATGAACTGCAGCTCTATTAAGGCGGACTAAACGGGGCTCATGGGAAAAAGAGGTTAGAATCAGACAGAAGAAAGTTTATTTCCCCGTTTTCCCTTGTGGCAATTCTAGGTCTCCTTCACGAGGTGCACCACCGCTTCCATGAAATTGCTGCAAAGTCTCCCCTAAATGTCGTCACCTCGGCAGGATGTTTACGAGAGCTGACAGGAAAGCTCTTGCCTAGAGTCAAATGAGTTTCATCATCATCATCATCACCATCATCAGTTTGCCCCTCCCAAAAAAAAGAGTCCTGCATCAAGAGAAAGCAGCTAATCACACTGCATCTGCACAGCAAATAGTGGTGTAGACAAGGTCTAAATGACTTTTAAAAAACAATACTGCCAGAAAATAATATTACCGCTCACCAGTAAGACTGAAGGACCAATCTGAATGCTAGTTGGTTTCACATAGAGAGCGACAGCAGTCATTATTTCTGCCCCTGTGGTGAAACTGTTAGCAGTTCTGTTCACTCGTTCTGTTGGTGATCCTCAGCTGCTCCTAACACAATGCAGAATATGCATTTTTCATGTGGTGGGGAGCCCTGTTATTTACTTTCCACTCACATTATCTTTCCAGAAGAACAGAAGCAATGTGAGGCACACGTCTCTGGCAGGTTATCAGCACTGTCACATAATGACAGCTTCTGTCATTTCTACGTAATCCTAATAATAGCATCTAAAGAGCCTTTTATGCAACCATTACGTGGGGGTTGTTTTAATAAACAGAGCCAAAACCCAGTCTGAAGAGGCCATTAGCAGGAACCTGCTGTTCATTAATAAGGGTTCTTAAAGCTATTTATTCCTCTAAAGATTTTTGCTTTGTGTGCCGTACTGGGAAAATCCGTATTGCTGTTCAAGAGGCTTGCAGAAGCAGTAGTGAGGTAGCCATAAACCAGGGAGGTTTACCTGTCGTAATCCCCGTTGCAGAGAGCTCTCACGGGGATCTTAAAGGCTTGCCACACAGGGTTCAGCGTGTTCTTCACCACCTCGGTCTTGTGGCAGATGGTAAACCTGGAGAGAAAGGACGACAAGTGGAAGGTGGTAAAAGTGACCCAGAGAAACCTGATCTAATTGTTAATATAGAATAACCCTCAACAAACAACAGGAAGACATATTTTACATGCTGGATTTGGCAACCTTAGTTCAAATAAAAGCTATTCCAATTGACAGCATCAACTACAAATGATTTTGTTTCGGTTTTAAATGTTCCCTCACACACAGTGTGACATCACCTCTGCTTCTAATTGGATACTGTAGGATAACTGAAAATGAATTAACTAAGTAAAATATCACACAGAAACAGACCATTTATTAGGTCTGCCACACTTTTTATGGTCCCTAAGAATCTTTTTTGTTTCTATTTTGGTAAGGCATACATTGTTAATATAGATAAACAACAAATAAAATGTAATGCAATTTCAGAAATTTGTTTTTAACGTGATAAAAATCCATTACCTCTGCTTCCGGATTCAAATGTTCAAAGTATAAAAACAAAGTTTCAAGATGAAGTTATGTGACAGACTTTTGAGAGAAAAAAAAAATCTGTTTCCTTGCTATGTTTTTCTTTCTCTCGAGCAAATAATAATTCAAGTTCCAGATTTTTCCAGCAGCCCACAAAATAATGGAAATATTTGTAGGTAGTTTTAATATATTAAAGCAACAGCATCTCACAGCTTTAAATTACTTTCAAGTTGCCATGACATTTTTTAAAAACAACTTTTCCTGTTTCAAAGATTTTCTTTTTTCTTTTTTACTGTGGCATTGTGTGCTCCCCCTTTCCACACACACACACGCGCACGCACACACTATCAGGAAGCAGAAAAAGAGGTAATTTCACGAGTCCCTCAGAGCATAAAGCCTTATCTGACTTGTGCTCTGCAGAACACACACCTGTAAAATCTGTGTGTGCTGTGCTTTTCCCCGACACTCACATGTTTGACGTCTCCACATGTAATTCACACACGTTTAAACAGAAAATCAATCAAATAAAAATCAATTTCTTTTTTGGCAAGGGGGTCAAAACCCGACGTGAAAAGGGGAAAGAAAGTGAAGGAGGGAACGTGAAAACAGGAAGGACGGAGGGACGGGAGGAGAACTCACGTGCCGTCTTCATTGCTCCTGTAGAAAACCAGGAACGGATCTGACTTGCCAAAGAAATCCTTTTTGTCCAACTTGGTCCCACAGAACTGGATCATCACTGATTCCTAAAGAAACCAAGCAAGCATGTCGGGATAAACTGGTGGGACTGAAAAGAAATCATTTGCAGTGAGAACACATGAGTAGAGATGGTAACTGCATAAACTTCAGTGACCTATAAAACCCCAGAAACTCCCAGGAGCAATCATGTAGCTAAAATGCCAACAGGATTTCCCAATAATATAGATACAACAGTCATTTAATTGGGCTTATATCTTGTTTACAGTCACATCTGAAGTTAAGGTAAAACTGGAAATGTAAGAATGTCAAACGATGTTAATTTAAGCCCAAACAATAATTCTTCATAAAGTAAAGCTTGGCAATTATTGAAAATTTAATTGAATCAACTCATTCCTTTTTCTAAATATCTGTTTTGCAGACTAATTTAATAAATGTGGTGCATGTGAAGTGTGGCGTGAGCTTCAACCTTGTGGAGTCATTACATTTCCACATACAGACTTGCTTTTGAGCGCTCCCCGAGCGCTTACCTTGAACATACATTTTCAGATCTAGCCCCAAATGTCCAGTCATATTTAGGTCTGAACTTTGACTAGGCCTTTTTGACATGGGGATGTTTTGATCTGAATCATTCCAGTGGAGCTCCAAGTCATCTCCGTGGATAGAACATATTTTTTGCAGTCTCCAATTGGTTTTCCATAGTCCTGCTGCATCCGGTTAATTCACCTATGACCCATGTTATTCATGATGTTTTCCAGAAATTCCACTTTTTTCCATGTAAATAGAACAGGAAGTTTACTTTTGCCACTTCTCATGTGCCGAGGCTGCTGCTGTCTGCTTTCCTACAACTTCACTGGTGCACAACAAAAGAAAAGCCTGTCATTTTATTTAACTGTGACAGTCTGAATCCTAAAATTTATTTATCTTTTTATTGATGACTTGGGAAAAGACTGTTCCTGCTCCGTTATTGAACCCCAGCAGTCATTAAGGGCATGCCGAGTAAAGAAACTGGGACAGCAACGATGACAGATGAAAAAACAAATAGCACCAGGGAAATACAGGGGGAGGATCAACACATTTTTGATTTAATCCCTTAGAAGAAACCTTATTATTTATTGATTTGAACAGTGTTGTTCTCTTGTTGTTTTGCATTTGAATAAGTAGATTTCACAGTGCGAGATGCATATTGTAAAGTAACTCAATTTAATGTCATTTCAGACAAACTTAACACCAAGCGTGAGGATGTTTGTTTTTGGTTGATTTGTTGGAACAAAGCCCCTTGGCAATGAATTGTGTGAAATTAGAAAAGGCTCTTTATTTAGGGCTAACTAATGATGAAAGTGCTTTTGTAGATTGAGTTGTAGGGTTGGTGGGTTCATGTATATGTTCGTTCAGTTGAAACAAAAATAAAGTCCACGTCTGCTTTTGAGAACAAGACGCAACATGACGAAATGACATCAGTATTTAATTGTACAAAGTTTCAAGCAGAGCGACGACTAGCATACTCATTTGGGAAAGGCCTCCATTATTTCAGTGTGAACAAACTAAAACATGTGTGGAAGCAGATCTTAAAAACAGAAAACCTAAAGGGAAAGAGCTCTAAGAAACCAGTTCCTCACCCTGCAGTTGTTCAACTCCTCGGCTTTCACGATAATGGTCCCACATTTCTTCCCTTGAATGCCTCTGCAGACAGATGCACACAAAACACAATTAAGGGTCAAGAGTTCACAATCGCATGCAGACACAGACCTTTATTTGATGTTTACGCGACCTGCGCCCTTCCTCCTCCTGTATAACTCGTCCCTTAACAGCAAAGGGCAGAGACGACAACGACTGGAAGACGTCTCGTATTTCCTGAGAGGATTTTCTATCCCCACATTCAGCGCAGTGTGGAGCAGTCGAAGGGAACATCGAGTTTGTTTGATGACAGTGAGGAAGGATCTGCAGATATCCAGCATGAGGTCCCAGGCTGGGTGCCAACCTTCTCACAGTAGGATGGGACCTTCCATGTGTGCATTGAAGCCCCAGCATTTGCCTGCCAGCATGTACACAGGCTGAGAACTTACCTACTGTAGAAAATGTTTCACTTGGGAAAATGACCCATCGGATATTTTTATCTGTGATTTGTTGTTGTTTCAGAGTCTTTGTTGTTGATTTCACTCTTGTGCGTCCAAATAGGGGTTACTGACTTGAAATGCATTACATTTTCCCAGGTATGTTGTTCCTGTCAGTAATAATCTGTGTCGAAACACAAACTATTACAACATGTGATTGATGCACAAACCAATAAGCACTTTCTTGGTGCAAAAACAAATAAATAAAAAATGAAGTCAGCAGGTGGTTGTTTCAATTCAGTTCATATCAATCCAAGACAATTTCGCTGAAGAGTCGCTATCATGTAATCCCAGGTGCTTAAAATCTATCTTTCCAATTTTGCCAGCAAATCCTCATCCTAAGCAACCACGGGTAGACCGAGATTATTTACTACTTTGAAAACATTTTCAAAGAATATTACTTTCTTCTTTTTACTTTGTTGATTCCCATCTTCCTGTAGCGTTATTAAAATAAAAAACTTGCAGCTCTATCATTCAGGGCTTCAGGAACAGAATCTGTGTTTTACAGGTGGGACCAGAAACTGGATTATTACATGGTTGTCATCATTATGATCTTCAAAATTGTTCCCAAACAGGTATAAATGAAGGAGGACACGTTTAGAAAGTAAAATATAATTTGCTTTCTAAACGAGGTTGTACAAAAGGCGGTTGACAACTAATCTTACAATGATGCTGGAGGCGCTTAAAACCAGAAATGGGTTCATTTGTTCTTCCCAGATAAACACTTTCAACCAAATATTTATGGAGCACCCCACATTTGAGAATTCTGTTATGATTTTTGTCCTTAAATTATGAAAATATTAATTTATAATAAGAAAAACACCAGGATTTAATTTATAATTGATTTAATTCAAGGTTGTCCTTAGGCCTTAGAGCCATAAGAAATGTTATTTTTGTGCTTTTATTTTTTATTTTTTACTTATTACAGCTATTGTTATTTATGCTTTTTTTTATGTAAAGGCTTCATAAATCTCAAACTGCATTTAAGAGAGTCTCTGTTCAGCACAGAATAATTTAGTCCCGGTATATTAGATTTTAAACTTGAGCAAAGTTCCAGACTTCTCCAAAAACAGTGGAATATCCCTTTACCTAGTGTCAAATGGGAATCTTAAATTGGAAGCCAACTTCACTGACCAGCCACATGGTCACAATGTACAAACGAAAGCAGGGTGCCGACTCACTACGGCTTGGAAATGAGGATAAGCAATGGAATATTTTCACAGGTGACAACCCTGTGAAAGCACTTATACCGTTGTATATAAAAAAATATCTTATGACAGATTAAAAAGAAATGTTCAAATGAGCAGTCATTGAAAGTGACAACTTTGTCGAAAGCTGAGCCATTATTTTAATAAACAATCAAAGTGAACGATCAAGTAATTCTATGACAATCAGATCAATAAACCATGAGTAGTTAAGCACAATTTTGACATGTGGGAAGCAAAAGCTGCTTGACATTCTGAGTAAACATTCAATCTGACTGTGATGAGATCTGCCATGAGAGACCCATCTGGCAGAAATTGACTGAGGCAGTCATTTAAAAAGCCCAGAATTGGGGTCGGAGACCTCAGCGTCACTGTAACTCAAAATCTCCTTTTAGCGCGGCGCAAGGAGCTGGGAGGAACATGCTTTCAAAATGGCAGAATTGTCTGGAATGAAATAAATCCTGGGACCAGTGAATTGCAATGAGGACGGAGTGCTCCATTAATTCCAGGGAGCTGAGGTCACGTCATTCATATGCTTTACGTGTTAAAGTGAAGGAAGGACACACGGGCGGAAGACGGAAAACAAATCCTAGAAACAATGGCAACAAAAAATATATATATACATTTCCAGAAATCAGCAATGTTTGATTTCTTTCAACTCTTCAGTCCCACTGATTCATAGCACTAGTTTGATAAAACGGGCTTAACCCACTGCAAGACAAACACAAACATCACTTTCTATGTAGCATACCCTTTATAATCGAAATGTTTTAGCAGACTTTTAATCTTAAAAGACCTAAAACATCCTGCTGGGCTTCATGCAGTTCAGTAGCAGACTTCATTTGAAACCTTAACAAAAGTGTGTCCATGGATTATTAATCCCATCTGTTAAATTATTTCCACATTCAGATGGAATACTGCCATTACGGATCCACCTGGTTCAAAGCTGACACCTAGATGTGACTTTAAAAGGAGGGAAGTGCCACGAACGTGGCAGTGAGACTCCCACATGAGCACCGAGCGTTAGTTTGAACTAAAACCCATCAGCTTGTCTACACAATTGGCTCATAGAATCACAGTTTTTGATGGGTGTATGCATGTCTACCAGCACTGGAGACTCACTTTTTTTGCCTGCTATGCTTTGTAAAACTGTCAGTTTGGATGGCAAGCGTTTTTGAAACATATTCCCAACTGGATTTTGTTCTGAACTTGGACTGGACCATTCAAAAACATTGACTATGCCTTCTTCTAAACCATCCCACTGTGTACCTGACTGTGTAGGGTTGATGTCCAGCGGTAGGTGCTAACCGGTGTTTGTTAGGGTTTGTCCTCTATTCAGGTGTTTTTCAGAAACCCAGAAATATTTCCCTTTCACTGGTTTTTCAAGGCAGTTTATGTCAGGGCTATGTTGGTGATTCAACCAAGAGGATTAATACATCGTATGCCTAAATTAGACATATTTTAATATAGTCTTCCCACAATGAGATGCAAAGGGGAAGAGGAGGGCACAATCCCCCACAATAAGCATCTATATGACAACCCAGCCGAGCCAGGAACCCCAATCACGGGTCATGGGATGGGATTCCACCGCTAGTTATAGCTTCCCCAAATCCTCACCATTCCTCCTCCATATCTGAGACAGCTGAGGTCGTTATTCTGCCTGACAGATCCGCCTCGAAATGACATGTGGGCAGGAAGCAGAAAGATTGTTCAGCTGTGGGACGAATAATGAATCTCGCCTTTTGGCCTTGTTTACATTTATGAACCGAGACATTGCCATGCAAACCATTCAGAACAAAACAAAAAAGGAAAGAAATGCACAAACTGAAATAGACAGGAGTGTGTGTGGACTTGTGAAAAAATGTGTTTTTCCCACATGACTGTATAGATATTTAATGTTATTCTGAAAAATACCAAAATTTAATAAATGCACCATGTTTCAAATTATTATGCAAGTGATATTTTCTCAGATTTTCTTAAATGATGGTCAGTATAATTATCAAGTCATGAACTATTACAGTATAAATCCAATTTTACTGAATAAAGCTCCCAATGAGAGCAGAGTTTTCTTCAAAAATAAAAAACTCAAATGTACTGTTCAAAATTATTATGCACAGCAGGTTTTCTAAACATTTTATAAAGAACTGCAAACAGTCCTTCTTTGAATGTGCATTAAATGGTCACATGTCCTAAAGTCAAAAATTATTTAAATCAAAACAGACCGAGTCACATGTTGACATAGGACCCCTTCTTTGATATCACCTGCACAATTCTTGCATCCATTGAACTTGTGAGTTTGAGGAAAGTTTCCGCTTGAATTTCCTTTCTCTTTCCCATATTGCTTGAAACCTGTGGCCTGCATAATAATGTGGAACATCCTTCTTACATAGATTTTCTTTAATTGAGCTCACCTGACAAACTAATCAACCCAGCTCTCTGAAACTAATGATAGTGATTCAAAGGGCCCTGACACACAATACCATCTATAAATGGAAGAGCACAACAAAAAAATACATTTTTATGACACTTAAATCCAATTCTCATAATAATTTGGAACACTTTGTATAAACAGAAAACATACAGAAAAAAACGTGAAGCTATACCAAACAAGTAAACACGATCAAAACAAGATAATTCTTTGGCATTTCCTGTCACCAAATCACTTTATTTCCCAAAAATGAAAAGAAGAAATTGACCCAATTTCTTCAATTGTGTGCATACCTGAATGGTGAACAAAATACAGCTCTATTTTTGAGAGTAATGTTTCTTTAGAGTAGTTGGGGGGAGACTCCTTTTAATGTAAGAAAAGTGAATTTTTTATGTAAATGCTAAGTTGCTTTCAAGTAAATTGCTTTCCTCTGTTCAGTTTATAAAACACTCCAAAGTTAAGGAGTGCTTCAGGGATACATCTCCTGTGTGTGTGCTGCATGTGTGTGAGGGAGTGCTGCATACACTCCTAATCAAGACACATGGTTCTGCAATCAGCATCCAGCAAGAGACGGCTAATTAAGTCTGGGCCGTGTCTGGGCTCTGGAGTAACATGCATGCATGTCATTCTCATTATATTCCTGACCAAGGCAGAGTATCTGAATGAGTGATCAGTTGTCGTTACAATAGCATGAAGATCCATCTATTCTTGGTCACGCCACGACACACAAGCGCAGCCGCTCACACACATTTCCCTCCTGAAAAAGCAGCTCGTAATCATAATTCTCTCCCACAAAAAGACGCCTGACACAAAACCCATGTCGGAGCAGAAGCAGATGGAGGCGTTCTTTGTCCTTGTTTTTTCACAAATCTTTGTAATCAAGCTTCCTTTCACAGCGATCAGTCTTTCCTCGCGTCTTCGTTTCTGAAGCCGTCA